GCCTTCATTGGCAACTTTGATTTGGAGTCGCCCACAGATGCCGCTCTGGCCGCTGCCCAGTCGCTGCTGGAGCATGCTGTCAGCCAGGGTGAGCTGGCCCAGAACTATGATCTGTTGGGCCACAGGCAGTTGAGCGCCACCAAAAGCCCAGGCGATGCGTTGTATACTGTTATAAAGAGCTGGCCGCACTGGAGCAACGTGGGAGATGTGGCATAGGAATAGATTTCAGAGACAAATGTATAGATTTCGACACGTAAAGACCATTCCTTACACATTTATTGTAAATATAATTATGTATAATTTGTTGCTTGCTTAAATAGAATACTAAACTTATAATTTTGTTGATCTGTTTTCTCATTTCATTTGTTTATTAATATAATATGTTTTATTATATTTTGTTTTCTTTCATCTCGATATACTCGCGCGCCGAAACGTTTGGTTGTCGCTTTTGCAAAGCTCCCCGGGAGCACTGGGCCACAATAGAGATTTGAGACATCACATAGTATTCACTGAACTTCAAAAACAAAAACCTAAACTAACTTTACAGAACCTTAAAGCACAGAAGCAAAAGAACAGCTCACTTAATGCAGAGAAGAATAGAGGCAAAACTAGCTGGCTAGCAACATAACCAATATCAAGTGCTAATGCCAATATCAATTCAAATATATATATGTATATATAGATAGATACATATCTATATACATATATGTGTTCATATACATATATAAATATATAGTTTATGATTTAGAAAATAGAAATAGAAAACAAGGAACTATACAAAATTCGTAAAGTACTTAGGTAAAATTGCACTAATGAACGCCACCATTCGTGGAGGCGTTACCATTTTGTTGCTGTGCTGCCACAATGGGCAGTTTGAGCAGCCAATCGCGCTTGGCCTGGCCCTCGGGCGTATCACCACGCTGTGCGCTCAGCGTTTGGAAGCAGGTGGTCAATCCCACGCTGGGCGTGAACTCGGCACGTTCGCGTAACTCCTCTTCTGTGGCCAGCATAATACAATCCTCGTCAATCTCCTCGCCATCCGCATAGGCCGGCTGATGTTGGTCGATGCCGTTCCGCTGCTGGGCTATGCTGTCGCTGTTGCGCCGAAAGGAGTCGTCGGTCTTCCGCAGGAAATTGTATAATGCCACACAGCCCAGCACCACCTCGTTGACGTGCTTCTCGCTAACGCGCAGTGGCTGCGCCAGTATCGGAAATATATTGCACAATATGCGCAATGTTTGTTCTGCATGAGCATTGATTTGTTCCAGAGCAGCGTACGCGGCACTTTCCTTGGCCACGAGCCGTGTGCTGACCAAGTACGACGTGCTCGGTAGCACCGCATCGCCAGCGAGATAATAGCCCTTGCGATGAGGCTCAGATTTCGCCTCCAGTGCCTGCATCTTCTGCTCGATATGCTCGACGGCAGTGGTCTGGTTGTAGATATCATTTGGTCGACTGTTCGCTGCACGCTCCACCTTCACATACTGGAAATTGTTGTCCGCATCGACGATGGCCGTAAAGATGACTGTCGCACGCTTGCGTTCGTCGTTGCTGATGCTGTTCTGCAGCTGAATGCTGCGCATAAACAGATTACCCACACACTGGGGCAGATTATGTTTGCGCTCCATTTCGGTGGCTGCGTTGCGCCACTGCTCGTCAGTCTTTGGTAGTGTCACGTATTGGTCCTTCAGGTGCTCGTAGAAGCCCATACAGATATTGGCAATCATTTCGTTTATCACAAATTTGGAGGCACGGAAGCAGTAGTTTCGACAAGAATGCACTTCACCTGCAATATATACACATATATCATGATGTATATCAATCATTCTATATATATAGTTTTAGAATGGGATTGAAATCAATTTATTAATATTTTGCTTACCCGTTGCCAAATACTTGAGCGTTATGGCCAGACGCTCCTCGGCGCTGAAAGATTTCTTTTTGCGCTGCGGCGCATACTGACTGATAATGGGCTCCAGTTTCTCTACCAGATAGCGAAACTGACTCTCGGTTATGGCTAGGAAGTAATTCAAATGATAGCACTCGTCCTTGCGCGATTGCAGCTCACTAAGCAGATTCTCCTTGCTGAGAAACTCTGATTGGTTCTTGCGAAGCCACTCCTTGGTCCATTCGAGACGCCGTCGCGTGTTCAGTATGCCAGCTAGGTCGAGCGCACTGATTTTAGATGTTTGCGGCCGTGTGAGCACCGAGGTGCGTGCCGCACCACTCGGTCCTACGGCAGCAGCACCACCACCAGCTGCATTCAGTGCATGGGCATCATTGCGTTCTGGTCCAGGGGCGTTGCCATTGCCGTTGTCGTTGCCATTGCCATTGGTATTGTCCTGCGTGACCCCATTCGCAACAGCCGCGCCCACGCCCACCTGATGACTGCCAACGCCAGCAGCGACGCCACCGCTGCGATTTACATTCGTGCCACCGTCGCGCTCGCGCAGCACACCGATAACCTTTAGTTTGATTTTTTCCATTGCCTGGAAATGTATTCAAAATTTGTAGTGGGCATCTCTCATCAAAACAGTTCGTCAGCTCCTCGTACACGCCCCGCCCCGCCCACGACAACCACTCGCCATCGTGTACAGGGCTGTCACAGTCGTTAGCGTGTGTGTGTGTGTGTTTGTGTGTGTATGACTGTGGCGTTTTGTGCAACAAATCGATTTTTACTCACCCTCACTCTCCGCTGCGTTGAAATGCCTTTCGCTGCTGCTGCTGCTGCTCCCGTTCCTTCGTTGCCTTTGCCGTTGCCGTTGCCGTCGTCGTCGCTGTCGTTGTCGTCGCTGTGTGTATAACCAGTTTCGTTCTTTGAGGGGAACACGGTTGGACTGTTGTATAATTAGAATTATTTGCACCACTGTCTCAACATTCGTTTGTTATCTTTATCTTCAGTGAATTTCACAAATTTGCACGTAGATTTTAGTTCTGATCTGTCATCTGTTTCTTGGCTTCTGTCAACTCAATACGATATGCGATAGCAACAGCGACGAAGAAATTTTGGCAGTAATTTCATTGCCAGTTTGTGCGCTGTGTTCTATGTAGATTCTTATATTGTTTAACTTTGTTTTAGCTTCTATGCAATTATGTGCTTAAAAACCACATTTTTCTTGATTTTTTCACTATGCAGTTGCTCTTTTTCCAATTTTCTGTTCCATACGCACGAAGTATTGCTTGTTCGCTTCGTCTTGCTGCTTCGTCAGCTGTTGCTTTCGTCGTCAGCTGTAATGTGTTGAGGTGCAGTGTTGTCGAGCTACGTGCTGCACAATGAGCCAGTTGATTATTGAACTGATTCAATGAATTTGGTATTTTTTGCATTTCAAAAAAGTAAATAGTCGTTTAAAGTTTACATTATATTGACAATGTGAGCAAGCCTGCTGATTAACTATTACGGGATTGAATCTCAAAGTAATCAGAGTAACTCACAAATAATTATTAAAGAAAATGTTACTTCTTGTTTCAAAATCTTTTCCGTAGTTTGATCTACAATTGCACCACACCAATTGGAATTCGTTAAATAAAATACTGATTTACAGACTTTGAAGTATGCCAGCAAAATCCACATTCAAGCTAAGAATTTCCGCCCTCGATTTGGCAATTCCAAAGCGGTATTTTATGGTACCAATTTTAAAATACTAAATAATCAATCAGATCCAAATTCAGTTTCAAACGTTTATAACGGCTATGCTATTTTTAAGTCAGCCAGTTTACATACTATATATACGGATATATGAGTACGCAATAAACCCAAAATAAAACAATTAAAGCCATTTTTTTTATTAAGCATTTTATTTGGTTATTCATACGCGTGTGGTTTACAATACAAATAATGTTTTTTTTTTCTCTTTTTTTTTGTTGTTTTTCTATTTGTTGTATGTTTTTAACACAAATATTATTATATTTATAACCCATTACACAGGCGATGCTAAGACATTGTAATCTTGTAATAATTTAGTATTAATTATGAATACACGGCAAAGGTGTGCATTACGAAAATTAGCATTAAGTATATGACTCTGTTGTATGTTTGCGGCTTTATGTGAATAAATACCATACATCGGCTGTGTTCATCTTGTATATAAGTATTTTAAATTTTATCTATGCAAGTTTCTGTATGGTTTTGTTTTGTTACTGTATAATAATAATGTATGTATTTATGTATATTTTTCATTAAAATATGCAAGCGTAAAAATTAGCTTGGTTCTTGTAAAAAATGAGACTTTAAAAGCATTTCACTTCCCAGGCCTTCACTACTTGCTCATTACATCCGTATGCAATTGTATATTTTGCTTAAATTAAACTACAATAAAAAGCGACTCATTTAATACATACATATAATAGATATAACTACATCAAATTATAAGCAAATGTGGATTCTGCATTCGATTACAATGCGTTTAGCTCGATAACTCTTGTCTCTTAGAAGATTTCATAAACATGTAATTATAAAACATTAAAGCCAATTATAGAAAAATGTGAATTTGCCTTCGCTTGCCATATTCAACTTTGCGATTTTTTATAGTTTTTATAAATATATAAAATATATATATATTCGTGTATATATATTTATTTATTATTTAAAACTCATGTGAATGCATTTCATATTCATTTAAAATGTTTATACTGATGAAAAAATGACGAATTTGCTAGTTTTTATTATAATATGATCATCAAGCTTTTAGTAATATGAAAGTCCGTGACATAAAAAGTTGGTGATGTGGTGTCCCATTCAGTGTGTTTCTTAGTCAGGATATAGGATTCGATCGGTATTTCCATCCTTAGTTGAACGTCTTGTCTGCAATGGTACATAAGAAAATATCAGAATATTTAGTAAAGGCGAAATCGAAATTTCTATAAAGGCGACATATTTTCTGTCTCTGTCAAAGTTGAGCTCTGCTGCTTCTATATTGAGACTAAAATAAAAACCGAAAATCAAAGGTACAACTAAAAGCCACAAGCCTTGCCTTATAATGCTTACCTAGCCAATTATTAAAAGTCATTGTTTAAGCCCCTTATTAATTAATTCTTTTCTTCTCATCTTTATTGGTGTTGTTGCTGCTGTTGCTGTTGTTGCGGTTGTGTCCTTAGATCTTCATCCTCAACCACCGTCGACTCGTCGTGCGACCAAAAGCTGGCCGACATTTGAGAGGATGACATGCCACCCACACCAGGGAATGAATCCTCCATTAACGTACTTGATGCACAGCTCGTAATGCTCCCGGACATCTGAGAGTTTCCAGCGCTGGTCTGATACGTAGCCGTTGTACCAGCTGAGCTGGTAGTTTGCTCAATGCACAGGTTTAGAGAATCAACGGATATGTCCTTGGACATGCCGCTCTCATCCAGTGGCAAATCCTGAATGCCACTTCCACCTCCGCCGCTGGTAACCGTCGTGGTGGTTATCACTCGTGTGACAGTGTGTTCTTGGCCATCGGCGTCTGTGCTGGTGGTTGTGGTTGTCGTAGTGGTAGTCAAACCATCTCCTAGTGTTACACCACCACCAGTGACCAGCTTGGACATAAGATCCAATTGTTCATCCCCAAACGATTCAATACTCTCCTGTCGCGAGTGGCGCTTATCAATTTCCAAGGAGTCAATGTCCGAGCGTGTGGTCGCATCTTTGGAGATATCGAAGCTCTCTATACTGCTGGTCATCATGTCATGGCTTCGAATCTCCATGCTATCGATGCTGTCTTTTTCCGAATCCTGGCTGTCAATTTTTGATTTCAGATCCAGTTCGGTGGTTGGCAGTTCAGTAATCTTAACTGTGCCACTAACTGCCTTCGAGTCAAATTCGTCCCTCTCCAGTTGTTGCTTGAGCAAGAGTTCAAGGTTTTCCGCTTGGCCAGCTGGCAGCACTTCAGTGCGGGTCACAGTGCGCGTTACCTTGGTGACCACCACATTGCCAGCGGCACCGTGGTCGCTGCCGTTTGATTTGTTGGATTCGTCCGAACGTGACAGCATTGCCGCCTCCTCCTTGGCTTTGATCTCAATTAAATGAGCTTCAATGCATGCATTTTCCAGTCCCTCAAAATCTTTGAGGCTAGATATTGAGACATCATCGCCAGGCGCTGTCCCACTGCCACTGTGCCGCACCATATAGCGGCGTGTGAAGCTACCATTGCTAGAGTCTGTGGAGCCTTGGTGGCCACGATTTCGGTTCTCTAGCGAAATGGCCTGCTCCAGCGACTCAAACTCTTGCAGGCTGCTCATGGAGACATCATCGTGGTCACCGCGCGAATGATAGCGACGTGCTGCCAAATCATATTCTGGTGTACTCGAGAAGGAATCCTTGAAACTGCTAATGCGACTGCTGCCCACCTCAAACTCTCCATCTTCCTCCTTAATATCCTCCAACACAGCGCCCGCCAGATCATAGGGATAACGCAGCTGTGTGTCAGTCAGCTGCATCTCGACCCAGCGCTTATTTGCAGCTGCAGTATCGCTTGAATCGCTTTCCTCCTGTTGTTCGCTGCTGCTGCTGGCTCCTGTTGGCGGACTTTCCTCGAACTCAAAGTTGAGGTCGTCCTTGTATAGCTGAGAGCCCAGTTTGGGATCGGCAGGTGCTGATTTTATTATTATTTTTTCAACATCCTGATCATGTTTCTGTTCATATTTAGTTGGCTTAATCTTTATGCTTTTACCGCCCAAATCCACCTCATTGGCCTCTTTGGCTACTTCCTCAATGATGACAAACTCATCTGAGATATCAGGCTGTTCAACCATTTCAAAGGAGTCGGGCGAATCAGCTGCCCTTTGATCATCGTAATCTGCACCCACTTCGGCTCGCTTGAGTTCTTCAAGCTTCTGCTTATACTGCTCCTGCACTCGTCTCTGGAATTCGAGCTCCTTTTCTTCCTCTTTGGCTTTTTGGAAAATGGCCACATCACTTGCTTTGTTTAGCTCCTCTTCAGTGCGAACTTTATACAAAGTCTTCTCCGGAAAGTCATCAGCGTCTTCTTCCAAAATCGGCGACTTTACATCCTCGGTAACCATTATGTCAGGGATATTTGAGTAGTCTTGCATATTTTGCGAGGGTCGTCGCTCTTCAATCATGGCTGCTTCCGCTTCCAACTCCTCTGTCGCATCCTCAACAATGACTTCGGCTACCAGCTGAGAGGGTGTGAATGGACGTTTCTCAAGCTCGGAGCTGTGATCCATCTCAGCAGCTGCTTGTTTTTTTTTCTTATGCTTTCGTTCTTTTGGAGAGCGGAATTGACGTGCATATTCGGATTCGTAAGGGTCTGTATCGGACTCACTTTCCGATTCCTTGCCTTCACCTGGTGTTGGTGTATCCTTGTCTAAATTCTTTAATGCATCTCCAGAAATTGTTGTACTCTCATTGCGTTTGTGACCACGCTTCTTCGACTCACTGCCAGGCGGTGTACTGGCATTCGAGTCTTGTGGCGAACTTTCTTTACTTTCCATTTCCATAATGAATGTGTCTTCTGGTATTGACGCGGATGGAATTGGATCCTCATGGCCATATTGAAAACCTTCAATACCTGTCAATGACGAGGAACCGGCAGAGCCGATTATGTCATCAAAGTTTTCCACAACAGTATCAATATTTGATGTACTCGACATGCTGACAGAGAGGATGCTTCCCTCATCTAAGCTTGAGGCTAGCTTCGACTCGTCAATTGAACGCCGCGAATCACCGTGATAGAGCAGTATATCTTCTCCCTTCTCGCTCTCTCGGGGGCTATCCATCTTTCCCTCTTTCTCTTCAATTGGATAGGCTAGTCCCCAAGTGCGTTCGATCTCTTTCGGTTTGGGATACTCATCAATCTGTGCAGTCTCTGACGTTTGTTGCAGAGGTATAACTTCAGCCTCAGACTTGGGCTTGAATATCATTTCCTGAGAGCGCTTCATCGCGCTTTGCTGTTCAGTTGTGGGATAGGCAGAGGCTATCATATCAAGGCTCTCATCACTATCGTCGTCATCAGCTTGCAGATCGTGCAGACGAGCCATTTCTTCAGCCTCCAAAGCATCAGCTTCTGTTGAGGATGCTACCAGAGTCTCAGACAGCTCAGAGACGTCAATGCTTATCAGATTGGCTGAAGTTTCTGACTGGGAGTCCAGGCTGCGCATGCTCTCATGCGAGCTAATCGACTTTCCACTGCTGCTGCCTAGAGTACTGACTGCACTCACGTACTCGGTGCCATCGCGACATGTGGAAGGTGTGAAATCTCGTGCAGTTTGATACTCGCTTGATGTTCCGGTACCTGTAAGCAAGTTTTCTACATCTGACGATAGCGGACGACTCTGAGTTTTATCGAAACTCTTGTGGTAGCTGTCGCTGGAGCTTGAATGATCTACATCTGGAATAGACCAGCGGTTGGTGGAGTCTGGCGACGAATCAGTTTTTATGCGATGTACTACTAAGTCGACTGGCTTAATGCTGTGATCAGAAACTGCTTCCTCGAAGGTGCTGCTAATCGACTTATCGGCAACGTTGCCTTCTGCGACTACAGATGCCGTGGCTAACCTCTCTGTGTAATAGTCCTCCATGGAGCTAAAGTCATCAGCTGTTTCAGTAGATATGAAGCCAAGTGAGGCTTGTTCCTCCTTTGCTAAACGCTCCTCCATTGAACTAAAGTCTTCAGCTGTGCCTGTTGAAACAAATCCTAGAGATCCATGATCATCACGTCGATCTACTTCGCTAGGCGCATCGTTACCGTAATGAGCAATGACAGCTTGTTTATTTAATGTCTCCTTGACTGTTGTATCGAAGAGACCCTCTGGTGGCTTAGTAGCATCTATTGTGGAGGCTTGACGTTCCGGTATTCCTATAAAGGATGACACATCCTCTACTTCAATATCAGAACGAAAGTCTTGAGGCACTTTGCTAAGCTCAAATTCTCTTTTAACAGCCCCTGTGGATTCCTGAACCTTTTCTATGGGTTTTTCGGTCAATGCCTGTGGCTGCTGTGGCGAGTGAAGTACCTTTGGTTTACTTGCAGTTGGAATTTCTTTTTCAGCCATTTCCCACTCACTTTTCTCAAGTGGCACCTCGAATTTGTCTGGCTTTTCAATAATTGTGTTGACTATTTCCGGAATTTCCTTGCTTGATTCTTCACTGCTTGAAGGCGCCACCTCGATAACCGCACGACCACTGGAGCCGGTCGACGTGGTTAGGCTCTCCTCGGTGGTTACTTTAGACATTTTAGCTTCGGTGGTTTTATCTTTTTCAGCATTTTCGAATTCCAGGAGATCATTTCTAGTTTCCGAGCTTTGTCTGATTATTTTGCTATCCAAACCAACTGGCGCATCGGGTTTCATAGTTACATATTCCTTAAAGGCATCATTAGCTTCATCTGAATCCACTGAGACCTCCTTCATAAGACATATATCCTTTGCTTCTATCTCGGTCATTTCTGTCTTAGGTTCTTCGTCCTGTGGTGTCATACTAGGGGATTTCGTAAAGGTTTTCGTGATTACATTTCGGCTTGATTCGCCAATGTAAAAGCTTGTTGTCTTCTCGACACCTTCAGATTTTTCTGTGTCTGCTTCGTCTACTGAAATTTCGCTTGTTGGCTCGAAACTTTCAGTGTGATCCTCAGATGCCGTTGTTGTGGTTGTTGTTGTGACAATATCCCTTAGCTGCGATCGGATCGACAGCTCTGTGGAGGGCTCTTCTGTTTTGGAAATATCTTCTGTAAAATCAAAACTACGTAGGCTAATGCTGTCGGATTGTTCGCCCAATGCTGCCAGATTCTCAAACTGATCTGTGTGCTTAATGGGAGCACGGGGCTTCGGAACTGGTGCAGATGCATCAACATTTATATCGATCGGTATGTCTGATTGCTGAACTTGATTTGGAATGGTGGTGCTATCTGTGCCTTCGGAGATGGAGTCGGGCGGGCTTGCTTTGAGTACGCGAGGTTTTGGTGTGGGTGTGTCTTGGCTGGTGGTCGTGAATGTATTGGTTTCGACCACCGTTTCAGCTGCTGTTTTAGTTGTTGTTGTTGTTGTGACAACAGCCGACGGTGGTATAGGAGTGGTATCGGTTGAGATTGGTAAATCGCCGCCTGTTTCTACAAAACAATAGGTGTGAAAATAAAAGCAATTTTAAAAGTGTGTTGCGAAATTGAAATCAGAAAGAAGATGAGAAAGAGGAAACAGAAGTATACATAAGGGAGCAGGAGGATGAACAGAACAGAGTGTTATATAAGAGATATGAGTGATTAGTAAGCGTTAAACAGATTGATAGATAGGTTCTTAGAGATAGAGTAGATAGATAGATTGATAGAATAGGTGTGAATGATTGATTGACTGACATTTATGGAGTTGACATGCATATTTCATATGAATAAACTAGAACAAATTGTAACAATTCGAAACATAAGATTTAATGCAATTAGAGCTCAACTTGAACAAAAAGTGTTTTAATATTTTCGCTTTTATTGGCCGCCATTTCACAGGTGTTTATGAAACGTAAACCAATAACGAATGTTATACGTTTTACATCTAGATTTTGTATTCACAATCTACAGAAGTCACCAATAGAGGAACCATATACAAAGCAATATTTATGTATAATTTAATGTGTTAAGTGTGTGGCTATATTGTTGTTATACTGATGATACCTGTAGTCAATTCTTGTATATCATTATCGGGCGTTAACTGAGTCTGTGCCATATCGGCCATTGTATTAGTTGTGGGCGAAACGCTATCATCCCAACTGAGCTTCGAATACTCGCCCTGCAGGGCGCTTATCTCGTCCTCTTGTACAACTGTTTCGAATGCCTCATCGAATCGGGCGCTGACATCATCTACGTCAGCGGATAGCTTTTGGATCTTATGCTCGATGCGTCTGGTACGCACCTCCATTTTATCTTCCCCTTCACTAGGCTCTACACACATACATACGTGATTTGTAGGTATTTTTGGGGATGAGACATGATCAACGGGTAGCAAGCATACAAAGAATACAGGATAATGATTAAATTTAACGGACTACTGCGACCCAATATGTAGGAGAATATATTTGATGACGCTAAGGTCCTATTAAGTTCCTGCTAACTGCTATTATTGTAGATCGAACAGATTGTTGCCTTGGCATTATAGATTACCTTTTGCTGTCGATGAGGCTAGTGGTTGTTGCTGTTGTTGTTGTTGTTGGAATTGCGTTGTTACTGTTGTTGTTGTAGTTGTTGCTGTTATGTTTTGGGCATGCAAGGGTAAGTTAATGTGCTCATCTGTGAAACTCATATTATCATCGAATGATTTGCCCGACATGGACTCAATAGTTGGCGATTTGATGACATCAACGCCGACAATATCGTCGCATGTTATGGCATAATTCTCACTCTCAGAATTGTATTCGTGCTTTATGAAATCGTGCCCATTGGGCTGATCCCCATGGCCCTCAATAAAATCGACACTCTCTTCGAGCACATTATCGACTAGAATTTTGGCTTCCTCGCGTATGCGTGCCACACGATTAACATCTTCGCCATCATCACATTCACCAACTTTAAGATCACCTGTAAAACAATTGCACATATTCATTGATAGGTAGAAATTAGACAGACAGATAGTTGACAAGCTTGGAAATCATGAACGGCATGAGAAGCGAATTATCGAAATCTTGTGATTAATTAGAATACGTATGTGCAGTATTATGTGATATATAGAAGATGGAGTTGAAAATGCGGTGATATTGGTGAAGTGAGCGAGATCTTTGAGCAGCGTATACGGTTTGTCAAACTGAGTTAATTGACTTAATAACTTTTTGTCTCAATGAGCTTTAATTGCATTTGTTAAACAATAAGAAATCACTTATAATTATCAAAAATACTTGTGAAGCGCATGAGAAAATGTTTGCGCAAAATCAAGATAAGCATTTTATGTAGACGGAAGATCACTGGACTTACCAAAAGTATGAGAGATATTCTCTGTATGCAGAATGGTTGGGGCAATTGTTGTTTTCGTAAGGCCTTCTGTAAACGAACAAATGAATGATTAGTAAGTGTATGGAACTCTGGGAAAGTAACATAAAAGTAACCTAAAAGCAATTACATACGTTAATTATACGCTACAAAATAAAAAGTTAACACGGACTCAAAATAAGGACGAAACAAACAGATTCCAAAGATCTTTTTTTTCACATTTTTGTTAGTTCTAAATACTAAGTACTTAAAATGTTAGTTGCACGACGCTTAGGTGATTAGAAATGTTGATTTTGTTAGTATTGTACGGGGGCACAAAGTTAAGGCAGACATTAGCATTTAAATTCAGGCTTTTTGTTGCTTGTTGTGTGGTAAAAACTTTAACGAAAATTTAATTTTATGCATGTTAATTATTAATTGTTTGGGTTTACTTACAATATGCTTGAGTGTATGTGTTAAAAATATTCAGTTGAATTTATTCATTATATTAGATATCTTATTTAGACACTTATACGAGTTATGCAACTATTGTTATATTGGTTATTTGGTAAGGATTGGATACTTGAAGACTAGTTGTCGACTCTAGCGACCGACTCATCGGACTCAACATATTCCACATCGGTATGGGCGTCTCGTATCACGCCTTTTATATGGACCCTCTCGGCGTCGACATTGTAGCTTCTGCCGTCTTTCTCATGTACCACGGTATAGCTCTCATTCAGCATATCGTTCAGCTCTTTGCTGTTGCTATTGGCCACCTTGATGACCGGTGGCTCGAGTACGTCCTCTGCATCTGATGGCAGTTGCACGTCCTCCACATCCGTGTTCTGCTGACTGACTGCGTCGTTCTTAAGCAAACGCAAGTGAAGTGGCTGCACTTTATATGTGTTCTGAGATACCTTGGGTAGTTCAGCTGGCGGTAAGGAAGTATCCGAACCATCAGATACATCATCGGTGGACGGTTCATCGGAATCAGTGTAGCCCTTGGCTTGCTGCTTCAGTTGGGCCACACGCTTCACGCTGGGCGGTAGGTCACATTCACTGAGTTCCATGTCCTCTACATCGGTTATGCCGTCCTCTTTGCCCTTGACAATATCAAGGAGCTTGTTCTTTCCCTTGCTGAGAGTGCGAGTCTTCATCTTCTTTCGTCGATTGGTGCCTGCCACAAAGATTTCCTCTACATCAGTCACAGATTCGGCATTCGAAAGCACCTCCAGACGCTTATTCTGCTGTTTCAACAATTCATTGGAGACAATGACTTCATTTTCTATAAGACTCGCTGCTCCCATGGCCATTTCCTCGGCAAGTGAAATATTTGTACTCAGGTCTTCGGCACACGAGTATTCATCTGAATCGGTATTATTTACGTCTTTCAAGTGGTTATATATACCAAACTCGTAATTGCTCTTCATTGGCATAACATTGGTAATCGTATCTCCATTCTTATCCTCTTTCAGCTCAACGACCTCGCGATGGGGCATTGGCAATGCCTCGGAGGCAACAGAAATTATTTCGGGCAAGGCGCTTGCAAGTGAAAGGTCATCGCAGTACATGTCCTCTACATCAGTTAGGCATGTGCCATCGTCCCCAGAGGCTAGAATGATAGCACGTGGAATCGGCTGTTCATCCTCATCCTCATCAAAGCTATCTTCTGCAGCTGAATCATCGATGCCCTCAATATCTGTGAGTACCTCTTCGTTTTTCGGAGCCACTTGCAGGAAATGCTTTTTCTCAGTATTGAACAGAGTTGACTTTGAGTTCCGGCGGTGCTCTCCACTAGCGTTTATGAAGGCCACATCGATTGGTGGCAAACTGGCTTCACTTATACTCGCGCTCCTGGCAGCAGCGCCGCCCGATTCAGACTCAGAGCCCGAACAGGCTATTTGACATACCTCTTCGCTGCCACTGCCAGATACCTGGAGCACCTCGTCCTCAGAATTGCCGCGCACATGAATGCCAATGCCGGTGCAGTCGGACATTGCGGATGCCAAGTCACTAATGTCGCTAACGACGGAGATATCTTCATATTGGTCAGAGTCATCTTCGTGCTTCTCGCCATCGGCAATGTTAACACGTCCCTGATCTCCCACAGCATTGTCTAGATCAACACAGACAGACTTTTCACAGCCATAGTCCACCTCGGAGTCTGTGTCGTAGTCTTCGCAGTCGGTTAATAAATCGGCCAGGCCATTCAGATTTTGTGCTTGAAGAAAATTACCATCTTTGATTTCACAGCTCTCCTTAGCATCGTTGTCCACAGCTTGCTGGTTTTGCAATCCTTGCTGTAAGAATTCGCGCAATGACAATTTCAACTCGGGATAAGCAACGCTTTTCTCATCATCGTCTGATTCAGTGTCGTAGTCCTCCACGTCAGTAACATCGTTTTCAAGGGGACTTGGTTTTTTCTGCTGGGGCTTTAGTCTTGGCGATACGTTACCAGAGCTGCGCCGAGAGCTGAGTCTTAGTACCTCAGCCTGGCTATCGAGATCTTCAACATCTGTGACGCCGCCGTTGTTATGACCATAGTCCATATCATTGCTATCGGAGTCATGTGAGGATGAGGAAGAAGTGGAATGCTGCTCGGCAGTTACGGATATAGTTGGGAGTTTTTTGGACATTTTGGTGGGTTTGGTTTTACTTGATTGAACTGTGGTTTTTATATATTTGTATTGGGTTTAGTTATTTGCGTTAGCTAGTTGTGGAAAATAAGTTAAAATTAAATTGAATAAAAGCATTTTGCAAATTGATATCAATTAGAAAAGTTGCGTAATGTTTTGTATTGCCCTAAGCATGGTGGGTATCGCTCTAAGCTATGCTTAATAAATGTATGATAGTGCTCTAAACCTAAATGTATCTATTTACCTTTGGTTGTGCAGTATTTCTCCGTCTCTTTCTTTTGACGACTCTCACTCACCGCCACAATGCTGCCGCTTTCGACATGCAATTGTGGCGAAGATTCTACTGCACTGCCCGATGAACCTACATGAGCATGCTGGTGCTGATGGTGGCGCCGCAATGTTTCCTCAATTAAGGCTAAGGGACTACGAGTTGGCTTTGGGGAGCCGGGGCTGGCGGCCTGCAAGCGCTCTGGCTCACCAGCGCCAAACATGGGCAGTGCAACAGAGTCGGAGAGACTGGAATCGGTGGTATCAATAAAGCTGACATCGAATTCGTTAACATAGCGCTGTTGTTCACTTGTGGATTGCGGACGCATGCCAATCGATGTATGGTGCTCTCCATCAAAATCGGGCTGGCGGTAGATCACTTCTAGGGGTTTGTCGGGGCCGAAAGTCTTAGTGAAAACCTCGCTGGTTAGCACCTTGCGACTGTTGCTGCCGCTACCAGAGGATGATGAGGTAGAGCTTTTTGTACTATCACTTGATTTAATGGATCGTATGGTTATCACCTCGGAGTCGTCATCAACGAGCACGGTGCTAACCGCGCCGGTTGTGGCCGTCGGTGCCTTGTGAACACGCACTGTCGATGTCGATGTGGTAACCTTCTGCTCTGCTGATAGCTTCATATTGGTCTTCTCTTTGTCCGTCTTACGACTGACCGTCACGGAACGAACGCTGCGTCTGGTGCTGTTGGAGGAGCCACTGGCACTGGTGCTGCCACTAGCTGAAGTATTCGACTCGTTCATTGTATCCTTCATCTGTTTCTGCAGTTTGGGTTCTATGGAACTGCGTATGTTTTTGTTGCTTCCCTCACTCACTTTGCTTACTGTCTTCCTAACGATTTTCTTATTGTCTATCTGAGGTTTTAAAACGGTGTCATCACTTTTGTTGCTTAGCTTAGATGAAGTTCTTGGTGTTACGGAAGACAAGCTAACTGGAACTTTGGTGCGCTGTTGCATAGTTGTTGTAGTTTTCTTCTGTAGATTTTTGTTATCAGATTCTATGGAAGTTCTGTAGGCAATGGATTTGGTTGCATTAGCTGATTGTGTCTTCATGCTTTTAGTTATTTGGCTCTTGGAGCCTATCACGTTTGCTTGTTTATTCTCTTTGGATGTTTGTCTTTTGTAAAGGCGATCTGTACTCTTTAATGACTCCTTACTTTCGGTTTGGGAGCCTCTTTTGGTCAAAACTAAAGGCTTTTCTGTACTCAATTTCTTTTGTTTTTGATCTATTGACGAGTTTTTTGTCAAGGCACTTGTCACATTCTTTGTTTTATATACACTTTGTCGACTGGATTGTGTCGGAGCTGGAGATTTAGGCGGTGCTGGTGATTTGGCTGGAGCCGGAGTTCCACTCCGGCTTTCGCTCTCGGCATTCCGGCCGTAACGCATACTGTGAGCTAATGTTGGTTGCATATATCGGTGTGTGGTGGTAGATGGAGTTGGCGTTTTTGTTCGCTTGTCTTCGACAATTTTTGTCTTTGAGGTGATCTCTTTTTTCATTTTTATATTAACCACTTTTGCGTTCTTGCTAACATCTTTTCTTGCGATAGTTGTTTTCGATTTTGTGGCTTTAGTTGACGGACTTGAGGAGCGAACTGAGCTGTTGTATGGTATTTTGGTAACATCTGTTTTCACCCTAGGTCTAGGCGTTGTGGATCGGCTATTTTCGCCTTGAGGATGACTTTCATAAAATATTGAGCTTGATGCTGGACTTGAAGATCTTTCAAAGTGAATTTCACTTATGACTCTACTTGTAGCTGATGCGGAGCTTGTCGTTGTTGAAACAGAACTTGTCACTGATCTCCTCGACTCAGTTTTCTTAGCAGCCTTCGACGATTCACTTGATATTGTTTTGGGCTGCCCTGATAGTTTGCTTGCGACCTTTGTTACTTTTGTCTGTGTTTGTGGAGCTTTCTTTTGTATTGTCTTTGGGTTTCCCTTATTATCTATTGGTTTTTTAGTCTGAGGTTTTATTTTTGAAGCTGCCGTCGATTTCGCATTGACATTGCTTATAAGTTTTGGTTTTGTAATTGGAGTCTTCGTTTCCTTCAATTTATTTGGTACTACATCTATACCTGTGTCGTCTAACTTCACAAAATAGGCAACAGGTCGAACTTCTTTGCACTCAACATTTTTTCTGTCCTGTGAAATTATTTCATCCTTCAACTGATTAACCCCAGAAGCCTTTTCTCCTAATATAATATTTGCATTTTTTAAAGTATCTTCTACAATTTCATCAACTGACCGTTCACTTTCGGCTAATTCGATAAATATATCATCTTTCTGATCTAGTTCTTTACGACCCTGCAGACTTTTAAGAGTTTCATTGACAATTTTCTCTGCCTCCTCATCACCGGCTCTTAAAGTCTCTTCAACTATTTGTTGCACAGATCTTGTATCATATATATCCGGAACTACCTCAGAAAATACTTCTTCTGAAGAATGTATGGCATTAACTAATGATATTGACTTTCCTGATATAGGACACAAAGGTATTGTTAAGGGACATGAATTGTGTTGTGAAATAACAGCTCCAAAACTTTCATCAACCGCGACATCTGAAAATTCTTTATGAGCCAAGATTGCAAAATTAGCTGGAGATTTGGATTTCTCAGCAGATTTTACTGCATCTGTAGGCTGCTTGATAACATCTTTGATTTGTATATCAACAGACTCCCGAGTCTCTCTGACAGAAGTAATTTTACTTGTAGTCATAGAAATTGGTACCAGAGGTGTGGTGGAGGGAAGGTTCTTATCTTGAGGCTTATAGGAACGTGTCTCTTCATTGCTTTCGTCGTCAGAATAGTCCTTTGGAGTTTGTTTAGATGCATCCAAAGGAGACTTGGGCTTCTCATCTAATTTAGGTTGTGGCTTATCGTCTTCTACGTCAGTAATTGGTTTTGGAATATCGTCAGATTTTTGAATAGGTTTGTCTGAAATTGGCAGAAGAGGAATAGTTGAAGAAATGGGTTTTTCTTGTGGCTTCACAGATCCCAATTCTTCATCACTCTCATCGTCTGAATAATCTTTTGGAGTTGTCTCTGCTAACTCAGTTGATGACTTGGGTTTCTCAACAGATTTTACTGCATCTGTAGGTAGCTTGACAACATCTTTGATTTGTATATCAACAGACTCCCGAGTCTCATTGACAGATGTAATTTTACTTGTAGTCATAGAAAGTGGTACCTGAGGTGTGGTGGAGGGAAGGGTCTTATCTTGAAGCTTATCGAAACTTGTCTCTTCATCGCTTTCGTCGTCAGAATAGTCCTTTGGAGTTTGCTTAGATGCATCCATAGGAGACTTGGGCTTCTCATCTAATTTAAGTTGTGGCTTATCGTCTTTTACGTCAGTAATTGGTTTTGGAATATCGTCAGATTTTTGAATAGGTTTGTCTGCAATTGGCAGAAGAGGAGTGGTTGAAGAAATGGGTTTTTCTTGTGGCTTCACAGATCCCAATTCTTCATCACTCTCATCGTCTGAATATTCTTTTGGAATTGTCTTTGCTAACTCAGTTGGAGACTTGGGTTTCTCAACAGACTTTACTGCATCTGTAGGTAGCTTGACAACATCTTTGATTTGTATATCAACAGACTCCCGAGTCTCACTGACAGAAGTAATTTTACTTGTAGTCATAGAAAGTGGTACCAGAGGTGTAGTGGAGGGAAGGGTCTTATCTTGAGGCTTTTGGAAACTTGTCTCTTCATCGCTTTCGTCGTCAGAATAGTCCTTTGGAGTTTGCTTAGATGCATCCATAGGAGACTTGGGCTTCTCATCTAATTTAAGTTGTGGCTTATCGTCTTTTACGTCAGTAATTGGTTTTGGAATATCGTCAGATTTTTGAATAGGTTTGTCTGCAATTGGCAGAAGAGGAGTGGTTGAAGGAATGGGTTTTTCTTGTGGCTTCACAGATCCCAATTCTTCATCACTCTCATCGTCTGAATATTGTTTTGGAATTGTCTTTGCTAACTCAGTTGGGGACTTGGGTTTCTCAACAGATTTTATTGCATCTGTAGGCAGCTTGACAACATCTTTGATTTGTATATCAACGGAATCTTGAGTCTCACTGACAGAAGTAATTTTACTTGTAGTCATAGAAAGTGGTACCAGAGGTGTAGTGGAGGGAAGGGTCTTATCTTGAGGCTTTTCGAAACTTGACTCTTCATCGCATTCGTCGTCAGAATAGTGCTTTGGAGTTTGCTTAGATGCATCCATAGGAGACTTGGGCTTCTCATCTAACTTAGGTTGTGGCTTATCGTCTTTTACGTCAGTAATTGGTTTTGGAATATCGTCAGATTTTTGAATAGGTTTGTCTGCAATTGGCAAAAGAGGAGTGGTTGAAGAAATAAGTTTTTCTTGTGGCTTCACAGATCCCAATTCTTCATCACTCTCATCGTCAGAATATTCTTTTGGAATTGTCTTTGCTAACTCAGTTGGGGACTTGGGTTTTTCAACAGACTTTACTGCATCTGTAGGCAGCTTGACAACATCTTTGATTTGTATATCAACGGAATCTCGTATCTCACTGACAGAAGTAATTTTACTTGTAGTCATAGAAAGTGGTACCAGTGGTGTAGTGGAGGGAAGGGTCTTATCTTGAGGCTTATCAAAACTTGACTCTTCATCGCTTTCGTCGTCAGAATAGTCCTTTGGAGTTTGCTTAGATGCATCCATAGGAGACTTGGGCTTCTCATCTAATTTAAGTTGTGGCTTATCGTCTTTTACGTCAGTAATTGGTTTTGGAATATCGTCAGATTTTTGAATAGGTTTGTCTGCAATTGGCAGAAGAGGAATGGTTGAAGAAATGGGTTTTTCTTGTGGCTTCACATATCCCAATTCTTCATCACTCTCATCGTCTGAATATTCTTTTGGAATTGTCTTTGCTAACTCAGTTGGGGACTTGGGTTTCTCAACAGATTTTACTGCATCTGTCGGCAGCTTGACAACATCTTTGATTTGTATATCAACAGACTCCCGAGTCTCACTGACAGAAGTAATTTTACTTGTAGTCATAGAAAGTGGTACCAGAGGTGTAGTGGAGGGAAGGGTCTTATCTTGAGGCTTTTGGAAACTTGACTCTTCATCGCTTTCGTCGTCAGAATAGTCCTTTCGAGTTTGCTTAGATGCATCCATAGGAGACTTGGGCTTCTCATCTAATTTAAGTTGTGGCTTATCGTCTTTTACGTCAGTAATTGGTTTTGGAATATCGTCAGATTTTTGAATAGGTTTGTCTGCAATTGGCAGAAGAGGAGTGGTTGAAGGAATGGGTTTTTCTTGTGGCTTCACAGATTCTTCATCACTCTCATCGTCAGAATATTCTTTTGGAATTATCTTTGCTAACTCAGTTGGGGACTTGGGTTTCTCAACAGATTTTACTGCATCTGTAGGTAGCTTGACAACATCTTTGATTTGTATATCAACAGACTCCCGAGTCTCATTGACAGATGTAATTTTACTTGTAGTCATAGAAAGTGGTACCTGAGGTGTGGTGGAGGGAAGGGTCTTATCTTGAAGCTTATCGAAACTTGTCTCTTCATCGCTTTCGTCGTCAGAATAGTCCTTTGGAGTTTGCTTAGATGCATCCATAGGAGACTTAGGCTTCTCATCTAATTTAAGTTGTGGCTTATCGTCTTTTACGTCAGTAATTGGTTTTGGAATATCGTCAGATTTTTGAATAGGTTTGTCTGCAATTGGCAGAAGAGGAGTGGTTGAAGAAATGGGTTTTTCTTGTGGCTTCACAGATCCCAATTCTTCATCACTCTCATCGTCTGAATATTCTTTTGGAATTGTCTTTGCTAACTCAGTTGGAGACTTGGGTTTCTCAACAGACTTTACTGCATCTGTAGGTAGCTTGACAACATCTTTGATTTGTATATCAACAGACTCCCGAGTCTCACTGACAGAAGTAATTTTACTTGTAGTCATAGAAAGTGGTACCAGAGGTGTAGTGGAGGGAAGGGTCTTATCTTGAGGCTTTTGGAAACTTGTCTCTTCATCGCTTTCGTCGTCAGAATAGTCCTTTGGAGTTTGCTTAGATGCATCCATAGGAGACTTGGGCTTCTCATCTAATTTAGGTTGTGGCTTATCGTCTTTTACGTCAGTAATTGGTTTTGGAATATCGTCAGATTTTTGAATAGGTTTGTCTGCAATTGGCAGAAGAGGAGTGGTTGAAGGAATGGGTTTTTCTTGTGGCTTCACAGATCCCAATTCTTCATCACTCTCATCGTCTGAATATTGTTTTGGAATTGTCTTTGCTAACTCAGTTGGGGACTTGGGTTTCTCAACAGATTTTATTGCATCTGTAGGCAGCTTGACAACATCTTTGATTTGTATATCAACGGAATCTTGAGTCTCACTGACAGAAGTAATTTTACTTGTAGTCATAGAAAGTGGTACCAGAGGTGTAGTGGAGGGAAGGGTCTTATCTTGAGGCTTTTCGAAACTTGACTCTTCATCGCATTCGTCGTCAGAATAGTGCTTTGGAGTTTGCTTAGATGCATCCATAGGAGACTTGGGCTTCTCATCTAACTTAGGTTGTGGCTTATCGTCTTTTACGTCAGTAATTGGTTTTGGAATATCGTCAGATTTTTGAATAGGTTTGTCTGCAATTGGCAAAAGAGGAGTGGTTGAAGAAATAAGTTTTTCTTGTGGCTTCACAGATCCCAATTCTTCATCACTCTCATCGTCAGAATATTCTTTTGGAATTGTCTTTGCTAACTCAGTTGGGGACTTGGGTTTTTCAACAGACTTTACTGCATCTGTAGGCAGCTTGACAACATCTTTGATTTGTATATCAACGGAATCTCGTATCTCACTGACAGAAGTAATTTTACTTGTAGTCATAGAAAGTGGTACCAGTGGTGTAGTGGAGGGAAGGGTCTTATCTTGAGGCTTATCAAAACTTGACTCTTCATCGCTTTCGTCGTCAGAATAGTCCTTTGGAGTTTGCTTAGATGCATCCATAGGAGACTTGGGCTTCTCATCTAATTTAAGTTGTGGCTTATCGTCTTTTACGTCAGTAATTGGTTTTGGAATATCGTCAGATTTTTGAATAGGTTTGTCTGCAATTGGCAGAAGAGGAATGGTTGAAGAAATGGGTTTTTCTTGTGGCTTCACATATCCCAATTCTTCATCACTCTCATCGTCTGAATATTCTTTTGGAATTGTCTTTGCTAACTCAGTTGGGGACTTGGGTTTCTCAACAGATTTTACTGCATCTGTCGGCAGCTTGACAACATCTTTGATTTGTATATCAACAGACTCCCGAGTCTCACTGACAGAAGTAATTTTACTTGTAGTCATAGAAAGTGGTACCAGAGGTGTAGTGGAGGGAAGGGTCTTATCTTGAGGCTTTTGGAAACTTGACTCTTCATCGCTTTCGTCGTCAGAATAGTCCTTTCGAGTTTGCTTAGATGCATCCATAGGAGACTTGGGCTTCTCATCTAATTTAAGTTGTGGCTTATCGTCTTTTACGTCAGTAATTGGTTTTGGAATATCGTCAGATTTTTGAATAGGTTTGTCTGCAATTGGCAGAAGAGGAGTGGTTGAAGGAATGGGTTTTTCTTGTGGCTTCACAGATTCTTCATCACTCTCATCGTCAGAATATTCTTTTGGAATTATCTTTGCTAACTCAGTTGGGGACTTGGGTTTCTCAACAGATTTTACTGCATCTGTAGGCAGCTTGACAACATCTTTGATTTGTATATCAACAGACTCCCGAGTCTCACTGACAGAAGTAATTTTACTTGTAGTCATAGAAAGTGGTACCAGAGGTGTAGTGGAGGGAAGGGTCTTATTTTGGGGCTTATCGAAACTTGTCTCTTCATCGCTTTCGTCGTCAGAATAGTCCTTTGGAGTTTGCTTAGATGCATCCATAGGAGACTTGGGCTTCTCATCTAATTTAAGTTGTGGCTTATCGTCTTTTACGTCAGTAATTGGTTTTGGAATATCGTCAGATTTTTGAATAGGTTTGTCTGCAATTGGCAGAAGAGGAGTGGTTGAAGAAATGGGTTTTTCTTGTGGCTTCACAGATCCCAATTCTTCATCACTCTCATCGTCTGAATATTCTTTTGGAATTGTTTTTGCTAACTCAGTTGGGGACTTGGGTTTCTCAACAGATTTTACTGCATCTGTCGGCAGCTTGACAACATCTTTGATTTGTATATCAACAGACTCCCGAGTCTCACTGACAGAAGTAATTTTACTTGTAGTCATAGAAAGTGGTACCAGAGGTGTAGTGGAGGGAAGGGTCTTATCTTGAGGCTTTTCGAAACTTGACTCTTCATCGCTTTCGTCGTCAGAATAGTCCTTTGGAGTTTGCTTAGATGCATCAATAGGAGACTTGGGCTTCTCATCTAATTTAAGTTGTGGCTTATCGTCTTTTACGTCAGTAATTGGTTTTGGAATATCGTCAGATTTTTGAATAGCCTTGTCTGCAATTGGCAGAAGAGGAATGGTTGAAGAAATGGGTTTTTCTTGTGGCTTCACATATCCCAATTCTTCATCACTCTCATCGTCTGAATATTGTTTTGGAATTGTCTTTGCTAACTCAGTTGGGGACTTGGGTTTCTCAACAGATTTTACTGCATTTGTAGGCAGCTTGACAACATCGTTGATTTGCATATCAACAGACTCCCGAGTCTCACTGACAGAAGTAATTTTACTTGTAGTCATAGAAAGTGGTACCAGAGGTGTAGTGGAGGAAAGGGTCTTATTTTGGGGCTTATCAAAACTTGACTCTTCATCGCTTTCGTCGTCAGAATAGTCCTTTGGAGTTTGCTTAGATGCATCCATAGGAGACTTGGGCTTCTCATCTAATTTAGGTTGTGGCTTATCGTCTTTTACGTCAGTAATTGGTTTTGGAATATCGTCAGATTTTTGAATAGGTTTGTCTGCAATTGGCAGAAGAGGAATGGTTGAAGAAATGGGTTTTTCTTGTGGCTTCACAGATCCCAATTCATCATCACTCTCATCGTCTGAATATTCTTTTGGAATTGTCTTTGCTAACTCAGTTGGGGACTTGGGTTTCTCAACAGATTTTACTGCATCTGTAGGCAGCTTGACAACATCTTTGATTTGTATATCAACGGAATCTCGTATCTCACTGACAGAAGTAATTTTACTTGTAGTCATAGAAAGTGGTACCAGAGGTGTAGTGGAGGAAAGGGTCTTATCTTGAAGCTTAGCAAAACTTGACTCTTCATCGCTTTCGTCGTTAGAATAGTCCTTTGGAGTTTGCTTAGATGCATTCATAGGAGACTTAAGCTTCTCATCTAATTTAGGTTGTGGCTTATCGTCTTTTACGTCAGTAATTGGTTTTGGAATATCGTCAGATTTTTGAATAGGTTTGTCTGCAATTGGCAGAAGAGGAGTGGTTGAAGGAATGGGTTTTACTTGTGGCTTCACAGATCCCAATTCTTCATCACTCTCATCGTCTGAATATTCTTTTGGAATTGTCTTTGCTAACTCAGTTGGGGACTTGGGTTTCTCAACAGAGTTTACTGCATCTGTCGGCAGCTTGATAACATCTTTGATTTGTATATCAACAGACTCCCGAGTCTCACTGACAGAAGTAATTTTACTTGTAGTCATAGAAAGTGGTACCAGAGGTGTAGTGGAGGGAAGGGTCTTATCTTGAGGCTTTTGGAAACTTGACTCTTCATCGCTTTCGTCATCAGAATAGTCTTTTGGAGCTTGCTTAGATGCATCCATAGGAGACTTGGGCTTCTCATCTAATTTAAGTTGTGGCGTATCGTCTTTTACGTCAGTAATTCGTTTTGGAATATCGTCAGATTTATGAATAGGTTTGTCTGCAATTGGCAGAAGAGGAGTGGTTGAAGGAATGGGTTTTTCTTGTGGCTTCACAGATCCCAATTCTTCATCACTCTCATCGTCAGAATATTCTTTTTGAATTGTCTTTGCTAACTCAGTTGGGGACTTGGGTTTCTCAACAGATTTTATTGCATCTGTCGGCAGCTTGACAACATCTTTGATTTGTATATCAACAGACTCCCGAGTCTCACTGACAGAAGTAATTTTACTTGTAGTCATAGAAATTGGTACCAGAGGTGTGGTGGAGGGAAGGGTCTTATTTTGGGGCTTATCGAAACTTGTCTCTTCATCGCTTTCGTCGTCAGAATAGTCCTTTGGAGTTTGCTTAGATGCATCCATAAGAGACTTGGGCTTCTCATCTAATTTAAGTTGTGGCTTATCGTCTTTTATGTCAGTAATTGGTTTTGGAATATCGTCAGATTTTTGAATAGGTTTGTCTGCAATTGGCAGAAGAGGAGTGGTTGAAGGAATGGGTTTTTCTTGTGGCTTCACATATCCCAATTCTTCATCACTCTCATCGTCTGAATATTGTTTTGGAATTGTCTTTGCTAACTCAGTTGGGGACTTGGGTTTCTCAACAGATTTTACTGCATCTGTAGGCAGCTTGACAACGTCTTTGATTTGTATATCAACAGACTCCCGAATCTGACTGACAGAAGTAATTTTACCTGTAGTCATAGAAATTGGTACCAGAGGTGTGGTGGAGGGAAGGGTCTTATCTTGAGGCTTATCGAAACTTGTCTCTTCATCGCTTTCGTCGTCAGAATAGTCCTTTGGAGTTTGCTTAGATGCATCAATAGGAGACTTGGGCTTCTCATCTAATTTAGGTTGTGGCTTATCGTCTTTTACGTCAGTAATTGGTTTTGGTATATCGTCAGATTTTTGAATAGGTTTGTCTGCAATGGGCAGAAGAGGAGTGGTTGAAGGAATGGGTTTTTCTTCTGGCTTCACAGCCACAATTGTTACCAGAGGTGTGGTGGAGGGAAGGGTCTTATCTTGAAGCTTATCGAAACTTGTCTCTTCATCGCTTTCGTCGTCAGAATAGTCCTTTGGAGTTTGCTTAGATGCATCAATAGGAGACTTGGGCTTCTCATCTAATTTAGGTTGTGGCTTATCGTCTTTTACGTCAGTAATTGGTTTTGGTATATCGTCAGATTTTTGAATAGGTTTGTCTGCAATTGGCAGAAGAGGAGTGGTTGAAGGAATGGGGTTTTCTTGTGGCTTCACAGATCCCAATTCTTCATCACTCTCATCGTCTGAATATTCTTTTGGAATTGTCTTTGCTAACTCAGTTGGGGACTTGGGTTTCTCAACAGATTTTACTGCATCTGTAGGCAGCTTGACAACATCTTTTAGTTGTATATCAAGAGGCTCCCGAGTCTCACTGACAGAAGTAATTTTACTTGTAGTCACAGAAACTGGTACCAGAGGTGTGGTGGAGGGAAGGGTCTTATTTTGGGGCTTATCGAAACTTGTCTCTTCATCGCTTTCGTCGTCAGAATAGTCCTTTGGAGATTGCTTAGATGCATCAATAGGAGACTTGGGCTTCTCATCTAATTTAAGTTGTGGCTTATTGTCTTTTATGTCAGTAATTGGTTTTGGAATATCGTCAGATTTTTGAATAGGTTTGTCTGCAATTGGCAAAAGAGGAGTGGTTGAAGGAATAGGTTTTTCTTGTGGCTTCACATATCCCAATTCTTCATCACTCTCATCGTCTGAATATTCTTTTGGAATTGTCTTTGCTAACTCAGTTGGGGACTTGGGTTTCTCAACAGATTTTACTGCATCTGTAGGCAGCTTGACAACATCTTTGATTTGTATATCAACAGACTCCCGAATCTCACCGACAGAAGTAATTTTACTTGTAGTCATAGAAATTGGTACCAGAGTTGTGGTGGAGGGAAGGGTCTTATCTTGAGGCTTTTGGAAACTTGACTCTTCATCGCTTTCATCGTCAGAATAGTCCTTTGGAGTTTGCTTAGATGCATCAATAGGAGACTTGGGCTTCTCATCTAATTTAGGTTGTGGCTTATCGTCTTTTACGTCAGTAATTGGTTTTGGAATATCGTCAGATTTTTGAATAGGTTTGTCTGCAATTGGCAGAAGAGGAATGGTTGAAGGAATGGGTTTTTCTTGTGGCTTCACATATCCCAATTCTTCATCACTCTCATCGTCTGAATATTCTTTTGGAATTGTCTTTGCTAACTCAGTTGGGGACTTGGGTTTCTCAACAGATTTTACTGCATTTGTAGGCAGCTTGACAACATCTTTTAGTTGTATATCAACAGACTCCCGAGTCTCACTGACAGAATTAATCTTACTTGTAGTCACAGAAACTGGTACCAGAGGTGTGGTGGAGGGAAGGGTCTTATTTTGGGGCTTATCGAAACTTGTCTCTTCATCGCTTTCGTCGTCAGAATAGTCCTTTGGAGTTTGCTTAGATGCATCCATAGGAGACTTGGGCTTCTCATCTAATTTAAGTTGTGGCTTATCGTCTTTTATGTCAGTAATTGGTTTTGGAATATCGTCAGATTTTTGAATAGGTTTGTCTGCAATTGGCAGAAGAGGAGTGGTTGAAGGAATGGGTTTTTCTTGTGGCTTCACAGAACCCAATTCTTCATCACTCTCATCGTCTGAATATTCTTTTGGAATTGTCTGTGCTAACTCAGTTGGGGACTTGGGTTTCTCAACAGATTTTACTGCATCTGTAGGCAGCTTGACAACATCTTTGATTTGTATATCAACAGACTCCCGAGTCTCACTGACAGAAGTAATTTTACTTGTAGTCATAGAAAGTGGTACCAGAGGTGCGGTGGAGGGAAGGGTCTTATCTTGAGGCTTATCGAAACTTGTCTTTTCATCGCTTTCGTCGTCAGAATAGTCCTTTGGAGTTTGCTTAGATGCATCAATAGGAGACTTGGGCTTCTCATCTAATTTAGGTTGTGGCTTATCGTCTTTTACGTCAGTAATTGGTTTTGGTATATCGTCAGATTTTTGAATAGGTTTGTCTGCAATTGGCAGAAGAGGAGTGGTTGAAGGAATGGGTTTTTCTTGTGGCTTCACAGATCCCAATTCTTCATCACTCTCATCGTCTGAATATTCTTTTGGAATTGTCTTTGCTAGCTCAGTTGGGGACTTGGGTTTCTCAACAGATTTTATTGCATCTGTAGGCAGCTTGACAACATCTTTTAGTTGTATATCAACAGACTCCCGAGTCTCACTGACAGAATTAATCTTACTTGTAGTCACAGAAACTGGTACCAGAGGTGTAGTGGAGGGAAGGGTCTTATTTTGGGGCTTATCGAAACTTGTCTCTTCATCGCTTTCGTCGTCAGAATAGTCCTTTGGAGTTTGCTTAGATGCATCCATAGGAGACTTGGGCTTCTCATCTAATTTAAGTTGTGGCTTATCGTCTTTTATGTCAGTAATTGGTTTTGGAATATCGTCAGATTTTTGAATAGGTTTGTCTGCAATTGGCAGAAGAGGAGTGGTTGAAGGAATGGGTTTTTCTTGTGGCTTCACAGAACCCAATTCTTCATCACTCTCATCGTCTGAATATTCTTTTGGAATTGTCTGTGCTAACTCAGTTGGGGACTTGGGTTTCTCAACAGATTTTACTGCATCTGTAGGCAGCTTGACAACATCTTTGATTTGTATATCAACAGACTCCCGAGTCTCACTGACAGAAGTAATTTTACTTGTAGTCATAGAAAGTGGTACCAGAGGTGTAGTGGAGGGAAGGGTCTTATTTTGGGGCTTATCGAAACTTGTCTCTTCATCGCTTTCGTCGTCAGAATAGTCCTTTGGAGTTTGCTTAGATGCATCAATAGGAGACTTGGGCTTCTCATCTAATTTAAGTTGTGGCTTATCGTCTTTTGTGTCAGTAATTGGTTTTGGAATATCGTCAGATTTTTGAATAGGTTTGTCTGCAATTGGCAGAAGAGGAGTGGTTGAAGGAATGGGTTTTTCTTGTGGCTTCACAGATCCCAATTCTTCATCACTCTCATCGTCTGAATATTCTTTTGGAATTGTCTTTGCTAGCTCAGTTGGGGACTTGGGTTTCTCAACAGATTTTATTGCATCTGTAGGCAGCTTGACAACATCTTTGATTTGTATATCAACAGACTCCCGAATCTCACCGACAGAAGTAATTTTACTTGTAGTCATAGAAATTGGTACCAGAGGTGTGGTGGAGGGAAGGGTCTTATCTTGAGGCTTATCGAAACTTGTCTCTTCATCGCTTTCGTCGTCAGAATAGTCCTTTGGAGTTTGCTTAGATGCATCCATAGGAGACTTGGGCTTCTCATCTAATTTAAGTTGTGGCTTATCGTCTTTTACGTCAGTAATTGGTTTTGGAATATCGTCAGATTTTTGAATAGGTTTGTCTGCAATTGGCAAAAGAGGAGTGGTTGAAGGAATGGGTTTTTCTTGTGGCTTCACAGATCCCAATTCTTCATCACTCTCATCGTCTGAATATTCTTTTGGAATTGTCTTTGCTAGCTCAGTTGGGGACTTGGGTTTCTCAACAGATTTTACTGCATCTGTAGGCAGCTTGACAACATCTTTGATTTGTATATCAACAGACTCCCGAATCTCACCGACAGAAGTAATTTTACTTGTAGTCATAGAAATTGGTACCAGAGGTGTGGTGGAGGGAAGGGTCTTATCTTGAGGCTTATCGAAACTTGTCTCTTCATCGCTTTCGTCGTCAGAATAGTCCTTTGGAGTTTGCTTAGATGCATCCATAGGAGACTTGGGCTTCTCATCTAATTTAAGTTGTGGCTTATCGTCTTTTACGTCAGTAATTGGTTTTGGAATATCGTCAGATTTTTGAATAGGTTTGTCTGCAATTGGCAAAAGAGGAGTGGTTGAAGGAATGGGTTTTTCTTGTGGCTTCACAGATCCCAATTCTTCATCACTCTCATCGTCTGAATATTCTTTTGGAATTGTCTTTGCTAGCTCAGTTGGGGACTTGGGTTTCTCAACAGATTTTACTGCATCTGTAGGCAGCTTGACAACATCTTTGATTTGTATATCAACAGACTCCCGAGTCTCACTGACAGAAGTAATTTTACTTGTAGTCATAGAAAGTGGTACCTGAGGTGTAGTGGAGGGAAGGGTCTTATTTTGGGGCTTATCGAAACTTGTCTCTTCATCGCTTTCGTCGTCAGAATAGTCCTTTGGAGTTTGCTTAGATGCATCAATAGGAGACTTGGGCTTCTCATCTAATTTAGGTTGTGGCTTATCGTCTTTTACGTCAGTAATTGGTTTTGGAATATCGTCAGATTTTTGAATAGGTTTGTCTGCAATTGGCAGAAGAGGAGTGGTTGAAGGAATGGGTTTTTCTTGTGGCTTCACAGATCCCAATTCTTCATCACTCTCATCGTCTGAATATTCTTTTGGAATTGTCTTTGCTAGCTCAGTTGGGGACTTGGGTTTCTCAACAGATTTTATTGCATCTGTAGGCAGCTTGACAACATCTTTGATTTGTATATCAACAGACTCCCGAATCTCTCCGACAGAAGTAATTTTACTTGTAGTCATAGAAATTGGTACCAGAGGTGTGGTGGAGGGAAGGGTCTTATCTTGAGGCTTATCGAAACTTGTCTCTTCATCGCTTTCGTCGTCAGAATAGTCCTTTGGAGTTTGCTTAGATGCATCCATAGGAGACTTGGGCTTCTCATCTAATTTAAGTTGTGGCTTATCGTCTTTTACGTCAGTAATTGGTTTTGGAATATCGTCAGATTTTTGAATAGGTTTGTCTGCAATTGGCAAAAGAGGAGTGGTTGAAGGAATGGGTTTTTCTTGTGGCTTCACAGATCCCAATTCTTCATCACTCTCATCGTCTGAATATTGTTTTGGAATTGTCTTTGCTAACTCAGTTGGGGACTTGGGTTTTTCAACAGATTTTACTGCATCTATAGGCAGCTTGACAACATCTTTGATTTGTATATCAACAGACTCCCGAATCTCACCGACAGAAGTAATTTTACTTGTAGTCATAGAAATTGGTACCAGAGGTGTGGTGGAGGGAAGGGTCTTATCTTGAGGCTTATCGAAACTTGTCTCTTCATCGCTTTCGTCGTCAGAATAGTCCTTTGGAGTTTGCTTAGATGCATCCATAGGAGACTTGGGCTTCTCATCTAATTTAGGTTTTGGCTTATCGTCTTTTACGTCAGTAATTGGTTTTGGAATATCGTCAGATTTTTGAATAGGTTTGTCTGCAATTGGCAAAAGAGGAGTGGTTGAAGGAATGGGTTTTTCTTGTGGCTTCACAGATCCCAATTCTTCATCACTCTCATCGTCTGAATATTGTTTTGGAATTGTCTTTGCTAACTTAGTTGGGGACTTGGGTTTTTCAGATTTTACGGCATCTGTAGGTAGCTTGACAACATCTTTGATTTGTATATCAACAGACTCCCGAGTCTCACTGACAGAAGTAATTTTACGTGTAGTCATAGAAAGTGGTACCAGAGGTGTAGTGGAGGGAAGGGTCTTATCTTGAGGCTTTTGGAAACTTGACTCTTCATCGCTTTCGTCGTCAGAATAGTCCTTTGGAGTTTGCTTAGATGCATCCATAGGAGACTTGGGCTTCTCATCAAATTTAAGTTGTGGCTTATCGTCTTTTACGTCAGTAATTGGTTTTGGAATATCGTCAGATTTTTGAATAGGTTTGTCTGCAATTGGCAAAAGAGGAGTGGTTGAAGGAATGGGTTTTTCTTGTGGCTTCACAGATCCCAATTCTTCATCACTCTCATCGTCTGAATATTCTTTTGGAATTGTCTTTGCTAGCTCAGTTGGGGACTTGGGTTTCTCAACAGATTTTACTGCATCTGTAGGCAGCTTGACAACATCTTTGATTTGTATATCAACAGACTCCCGAGTCTCACTGACAGAAGTAATTTTACTTGTAGTCATAGAAAGTGGTACCTGAGGTGTAGTGGAGGGAAGGGTCTTATTTTGGGGCTTATCGAAACTTGTCTCTTCATCGCTTTCGTCGTCAGAATAGTCCTTTGGAGTTTGCTTAGATGCATCAATAGGAGACTTGGGCTTCTCATCTAATTTAAGTTGTGGCTTATCGTCTTTTATGTCAGTAATTGGTTTTGGAATATCGTCAGATTTTTGAATAGGTTTGTCTGCAATTGGCAGAAGAGGAGTGGTTGAAGGAATGGGTTTTTCTTGTGGCTTCACAGATCCCAATTCTTCATCACTCTCATCGTCTGAATATTCTTTTGGAATTGTCTTTGCTAGCTCAGTTGGGGACTTGGGTTTCTCAACAGATTTTATTGCATCTGTAGGCAGCTTGACAACATCTTTGATTTGTATATCAACAGACTCCCGAATCTCACCGACAGAAGTAATTTTACTTGTAGTCATAGAAATTGGTACCAGAGGTGTGGTGGAGGGAAGGGTCTTATCTTGAGGCTTATCGAAACTTGTCTCTTCATCGTTTTCGTCGTCAGAATAGTCCTTTGGAGTTTGCTTAGATGCATCCATAGGAGACTTGGGCTTCTCATCTAATTTAAGTTGTGGCTTATCGTCTTTTACGTCAGTAATTGGTTTTGGAATATCGTCAGATTTTTGAATAGGTTTGTCTGCAATTGGCAGAAGAGGAGTGGTTGAAGGAATGGGTTTTTCTTGTGGCTTCACAGATCCCAATTCTTCATCACTCTCATCGTCTGAATATTCTTTTGGAATTGTCTTTGCTAGCTCAGTTGGGGACTTGGGTTTCTCAACAGATTTTACTGCATCTGTAGGCAGCTTGACAACATCTTTGATTTGTATATCAACAGACTCCCGAGTCTCACTGACAGAAGTAATTTTACTTGTAGTCATAGAAATTGGTACCAGAGGTGTGGTGGAGGGAAGGGTCTTATCTTGAGGCTTATCGAAACTTGTCTTTTCATCGCTTTCGACGTCAGAATAGTCCTTTGGAGTTTGCTTAGATGCATCCATAGGAGACTTGGGCTTCTCATCTAATTTAGGTTGTGGCTTATCGTCTTTTACGTCAGTAATTGGTTTTGGAATATAGTCAGATTTTTGAATAGGTTTGTCTGCAATTGGCAGAAGAGGAGTGGTTGAAGGAATGGGTTTTTCTTGTGGCTTCACAGATCCCAATTCTTCATCACTCTCATCGTCTGAATATTCTTTTGGAATTGTCTTTGCTAGCTCAGTTGGGGACTTGGGTTTCTCAACAGATTTTATTGCATCTGTAGGCAGCTTGACAACATCTTTGATTTGTATATCAACAGACTCCCGAATCTCACCGACAGAAGTAATTTTACTTGTAGTCATAGAAATTGGTACCAGAGGTGTGGTGGAGGGAAGGGTCTTATCTTGAGGCTTATCGAAACTTGTCTCTTCATCGCTTTCGTCGTCAGAATAGTCCTTTGGAGTTTGCTTAGATGCATCCATAGGAGACTTGGGCTTCTCATCTAATTTAGGTTTTGGCTTATCGTCTTTTACGTCAGTAATTGGTTTTGGAATATCGTCAGATTTTTGAATAGGTTTGTCTGCAATTGGCAAAAGAGGAGTGGTTGAAGGAATGGGTTTTTCTTGTGGCTTCACAGATCCCAATTCTTCATCACTCTCATCGTCTGAATATTCTTTTGGAATTGTCTTTGCTAATTCAGTTGGGGACTTGGGTTTTTCAACAGATTTTACTGCATCTATAGGCAGCTTGACAACATCGTTGATTTGTATATCAACGGACTCCCGAGTCTCACTGACAGAAGTAATTTTACTTGTAGTCATAGAAAGTGGTACCAGAGGTGTGGTGGAGGGAAGGGTCTTATCTTGAGGCTTATCGAAACTTGTCTTTTCATCGCTTTCGTCGTCAGAATAGTCCTTTGGAGTTTGCTTAGATGCATCAATAGGAGACTTGGGCTTCTCATCTAATTTAGGTTGTGGCTTATCGTCTTTTACGTCAGTAATTGGTTTTGGTATATCGTCAGATTTTTGAATAGGTTTGTCTGCAATTGGCAGAAGAGGAGTGGTTGAAGGAATGGGTTTTTCTTGTGGCTTCACAGATCCCAATTCTTCATCACTCTCATCGTCTGAATATTGTTTTGGAATCGTCTTTGCTAGCTCAGTTGGGGACTTGGGTTTCTCAACAGATTTTATTGCATCTGTAGGCAGCTTGACAACATCTTTGATTTGTATATCAACAGACTCCCGAATCTCACCGACAGAAGTAATTTTACTTGTAGTCATAGAAATTGGTACCAGAGGTGTGGTGGAGGGAAGGGTCTTATCTTGAGGCTTATCGAAACTTGTCTTTTCATCGCTTTCGTCGTCAGAATAGTCCTTTGGAGTTTGCTTAGATGCATCAATAGGAGACTTGGGCTTCTCATCTAATTTAGGTTGTGGCTTATCGTCTTTTACGTCAGTAATTGGTTTTGGTATATCGTCAGATTTTTGAATAGGTTTGTCTGCAATTGGCAGAAGAGGAGTGGTTGAAGGAATGGGTTTTTCTTGTGGCTTCACAGATCCCAATTCTTCATCACTCTCATCGTCTGAATATTGTTTTGGAATCGTCTTTGCTAGCTCAGTTGGGGACTTGGGTTTCTCAACAGATTTTATTGCATCTGTAGGCAGCTTGACAACATCTTTGATTTGTATATCAACAGACTCCCGAATCTCACCGACAGAAGTAATTTTACTTGTAGTCATAGAAATTGGTACCAGAGGTGTGGTGGAGGGAAGGGTCTTATCTTGAGGCTTATCGAAACTTGTCTTTTCATCGCTTTCGTCGTCAGAATAGTCCTTTGGAGTTTGCTTAGATGCATCAATAGGAGACTTGGGCTTCTCATCTAATTTAGGTTGTGGCTTATCGTCTTTTACGTCAGTAATTGGTTTTGGTATATCGTCAGATTTTTGAATAGGTTTGTCTGCAATTGGCAGAAGAGGAGTGGTTGAAGGAATGGGTTTTTCTTGTGGCTTCACAGATCCCAATTCTTCATCACTCTCATCGTCTGAATATTCTTTTGGAATTGTCTTTGCTAGCTCAGTTGGGGACTTGGGTTTCTCAACAGATTTTACTGCATCTGTAGGCAGCTTGACAACATCTTTGATTTGTATATCAACAGACTCCCGAGTCTCACTGACAGAAGTAATTTTACTTGTAGTCATAGATATGGGTACCAGAGGTGTGGTGGAGGGAAGGGTCTTATCTTGAGGCTTTTGGAAACTTGACTCTTCATCGCTTTCGTCGTCAGAATAGTCCTTTGGAGTTTGCTTAGATGCATCCATAGGAGACTTGGGCTTCTCATCTAATTTAAGTTGTGGCTTATCGTCTTTTACGTCAGTAATTGGTTTTGGAATATCGTCAGATTTTTGAATAGGTTTGTCTGCAATTGGCAGAAGAGGAGTGGTTGAAGGAATGGGTTTTTCTTGTGGCTTCACAGATCCCAATTGTTCATCACTCTCATCGTCTGAATAACCTTTTGGAATTGTCTTTGCTAGCTCACTTGGGGACTTGGGTTTCTCAACAGATTTTACTGCATCTGTAGGCAGCTTGACAACATCTTTGATTTGTATATCAACAGACTCCCGAGTCTCACTGACAGAAGTAATTTTACTTGTAGTCATAGAAATTGGTACCAGAGATGTGGTGGAGGGAAGGGTCTTATCTTGAGGCTTATCGAAACTTGACTCTTCATCGCTTTCGTCGTCAGAATAGTCCTTTGGAGTTTGCTTAGATGCATCAATAGGAGACTTGGGCTTCTCATATAATTTAAGTTGTGGCTTATCGTCTTTTACGTCAGTAATTGGTTTTGGTATATCGTCAGATTTTTGAATAGGTTTGTCTGCAATTGGCAGAAGAGGAGTGGTTGAAGGAATGGGTTTTTCTTGTGGCTTCACAGATCCCAATTCTTCATCACTCTCATCGTCTGAATATTGTTTTGGAATTGTCTTTGCTAGCTCAGTTGGGGACTTGGGATTCTCAACAGATTTTATTGCATCTGTAGGCAGCTTGACAACATCTTTGATTTGTATATCAACAGACTCCCGAATCTCACCGACAGAAGTAATTTTACTTGTAGTCATAGAAATTGGTACCAGAGGTGTGGTGGAGGGAAGGGTCTTATCTTGAGGCTTATCGAAACTTGTCTCTTCATCGCTTTCGTCGTCAGAATAGTCCTTTGGAGTTTGCTTAGATGCATCCATAGGAGACTTGGGCTTCTCATCTAATTTAAGTTGTGGCTTATCGTCTTTTACGTCAGTAATTGGTTTTGGAATATCGTCAGATTTTTGAATAGGTTTGTCTGCAATTGGCAAAAGAAGAGTGGTTGAAGGAATGGGTTTTTCTTGTGGCTTCACAGATCCCAATTCTTCATCACTCTCATCGTCTGAATATTCTTTTGGAATTGTCTTTGCTAACTCAGTTGGGGACTTGGGTTTTTCAACAGATTTTACTGCATCTATAGGCAGCTTGACAACATCGTTGATTTGTATATCAACGGACTCCCGAGTCTCACTGACAGAAGTAATTTTACTTGTAGTCATAGAAATTGGTACCAGAGGTGTGGTGGAGGGAAGGGTCTTATCTTGAGGCTTATCGAAACTTGTCTCTTCATCGCTTTCGTCGTCAGAATAGTCCTTTGGAGTTTGCTTAGATGCATCAATAGGAGACTTGGGCTTCTCATCTAATTTAGGTTGTGGCTTATCGTCTTTTACGTCAGTAATTGGTTTTGGTATATCGTCAGATTTTTGAATAGGTTTGTCTGCAATTGGCAGAAGAGGAGTGGTTGAAGGAATGGGTTTTTCTTGTGGCTTCACAGATCCCAATTCTTCATCACTCTCATCGTCTGAATATTCTTTTGGAATTGTCTTTGCTAACTCAGTTGGGGACTTGGGTTTTTCAACAGATTTTACTGCATCTATAGGCAGCTTGACAACATCGTTGATTTGTATATCAACGGACTCCCGAGTCTCACTGACAGAAGTAATTTTACTTGTAGTCATAGAAACTGGTACCAGAGGTGTGGTGGAGGGAAGGGTCTTATCTTGAGGCTTATCGAAACTTGTCTTTTCATCGCTTTCGTCGTCAGAATAGTCCTTTGGAGTTTGCTTAGATGCATCAATAGGAGACTTGGGCTTCTCATCTAATTTAGGTTGTGGCTTATCGTCTTTTACGTCAGTAATTGGTTTTGGTATATCGTCAGATTTTTTAATAGGTTTGTCTGCAATTGGCAGAAGAGGAGTGGTTGAAGGAATGGGTTTTTCTTGTGGCTTCACAGATCCCAATTCTTCATCACTCTCATCGTCTGAATATTCTTTTGGAATCGTCTTTGCTAGCTCAGTTGGGGACTTGGGTTTCTCAACAGATTTTATTGCATCTGTAGGCAGCTTGACAACATCTTTGATTTGTATATCAACAGACTCCCGAATCTCACCGACAGAAGTAATTTTACTTGTAGTCATAGAAATTGGTACCAGAGGTGTGGTGGAGGGAAGGGTCTTATCTTGAGGCTTATCGAAACTTGTCTTTTCATCGCTTTCGTCGTCAGAATAGTCCTTTGGAGTTTGCTTAGATGCATCAATAGGAGACTTGGGCTTCTCATCTAATTTAGGTTGCGGCTTATCGTCTTTTATGTCAGTAATTGGTTTTGGTATATCGTCAGATTTTTGAATAGGTTTGTCTGCAATTGGCAGAAGAGGAGTGGTTGAAGGAATGGGTTTTTCTTGTGGCTTCACAGATCCCAATTCTTCATCAGTCTCATCGTCTGAATATTCTTTTGGAATTGTCTTTGCTAACTCAGTTGGGGACTTGGGTTTCTCAACAGATTTTACTGCATCTGTAGGCAGCTTGACAACATCTTTGATTTGTATATCAACAGACTCCCGAATCTCACCGACAGAAGTAATTTTACTTGTAGTCATAGAAATTGGTACCAGAGGTGTGGTGGAGGGAAGGGTCTTATCTTGAGGCTTATCGAAACTTGACTCTTCATCGCTTTCGTCGTCAGAATAGTCCTTTGGAGTTTGTTTAGATGCATCCATAGGAGACTTGGGCTTCTCATCTAATTTAGGTTTTGGCTTATCGTCTTTTACGTCAGTAATTGGTTTTGAAATATCGTCAGATTTTTGAATAGGTTTGTCTGCAATTGGCAGAAGAGGAGTGGTTGAAGGAATGGGTTTTTCTTGTGGCTTCACAGATCCCAATTCTTCATCACTCTCATCGTCTGAATATTCTTTTGGAATTGTCTTTGCTAACTCAGTTGGGGACTTGGGTTTCTCAACAGATTTTACTGCATCTGTAGGCAGCTTGACAACATCTTTTAGTTGTATATCAACAGACTCCCGAGTCTCACTGACAGAAGTAATCTTACTTGTAGTCACAGAAGCTGGTACCAGAGGTGTGGTGGAGGGAAGGGTCCTATCTCGAGGCTTATCGAAACTTGTCTCTTCATCGCTTTCGTCGTCAGAATAGTCCTTTGGAGTTTGTTTAGATGCATCCATAGGAGACTTGGGCTTCTCATCTAATTTAGGTTGTGGCTTATCGTCTTTTACGTCAGTAATTGGTTTTGAAATATCGTCAGATTTTTGAATAGGTTTGTCTGCAATTGGCAGAAGAGGAGTGGTTGAAGGAATGGGTTTTTCTTGTGGCTTCACAGATCCCAATTCTTCATCACTCTCATCGTCTGAATATTCTTTTGGAATCGTCTTTGCTAGCTCAGTTGGGGACTTGGGTTTCTCAACAGATTTTATTGCATCTGTAGGCAGCTTGACAACATCTTTGATTTGTATATCAACGGAATCTCGTATCTCACTGACAGAAGTAATTTTACTTGTAGTCATAGAAAGTGGTACCAGAGGTGTAGTGGAGGGAAGGGTCTTATCTTGAAGCTTAGCAAAACTTGACTCTTCATCGCTTTCGTCGTCAGAATAGTCCTTTGGAGTTTGCTTAGATGCATCCATAGGAGACTTGGGCTTCTCATCTAATTTAGGTTTTGGCTTATCGTCTTTTACGTCAGTAATTGGTTTTGGAATATCGTCAGATTTTTGAATAGGTTTGTCTGCAATTGGCAGAAGAGGAATGGTTGAAGAAATGGGTTTTTCTTGTGGCTTCACAGATCCCAATTCTTCATCACTCTCATCTTCAGAATATTCTTTTGGAATTGTCTTTGCTAACTCAGTTGGGGACTTGGGTTTCTCAACAGATTTTACTGCATCTGTCTGCAGCTTGATAACATCTTTGATTTGTATATCAACAGACTCCCGAGTCTCACTGACAGAAGTAATTTTACTTGTAGTCATAGAAAGTGGTACCAGAGGTGTAGTGGAGGGAAGGGTCTTATCTTGAGGCTTTTGGAAACTTGACTCTTCATCGCTTTCGTCGTCAGAATAGTCCTTTGGAGTTTGCTTAGATGCATCCATAGGAGACTTGGGCTTCTCATCTAATTTAAGTTGTGGCTTATCGTCTTTTACGTCAGTAATTGGTTTTGGAATATCGTCAGATTTTTGAATAGGTTTGTCTGCAATTGGCAGAAGAGGAGTGGTTGAAGAAATGGGTTTTTCTTGTGGCTTCACAGATCCCAATTCTTCATCACTCTCATCGTCAGAATATTCTTTTGGAATTATCTTTGCTAACTCAGTTGGGGACTTGGGTTTCTCAACAGATTTTACTGCATCTGTAGGCAGCTTGACAACATCTTTGATTTGTATATCAACAGACTCCCGAGTCTCACTGACAGAAGTAATTTTACTTGTAGTCATAGAAATTGGTACCAGAGGAGTGGTGGAAGGAAGTTTTGTATCTTGAGGCTTAAAAGAGTCCTTCTGTTCAGAAGTTTGCTTAGATGCATCAATAGGAGACTTCGGCCTGTCATCTATGTGTTGCTGTGGTTTATCTTGTTTAATTTCGGAGGTGTTTTTATCTGTGTTCTGGATCTCTGTTTTGGTTTTTGATAATAGCTCGGATGTTAATTTGTCTTCGCATTCTATTGCATTTTTTGAAAGCTTTCCCTTTTCGGTCTTATATATTCCTTCCGACTCTAATAATCTTGTGTCGCTCACATAAATAGATTTTAGCGGACTTTTTTCTATATTTGATAGTAATTTTATCTTGTTCAGCTTCTCATCATGATCAATCTCTTCGTCACTTTCACTCTCATGTGCCTTAATGTTAGGTGTATCAGATGGAAAAATTGGTTTAAAATCAATTTGTTTTAGGGTTTGTGCCGTATCGGCTGAAGTTTTTAATGATATATCAATTTCATGGGTTGGAAACTTATCTAAAAACTGTTTTTCCTTTTTAGTTTTATCAGTCTGTGGTTTCGGTCGGCTCTCTTCTAAAATTAGTTTACTTAGTTTTCTTTCGTATTCAGATGCAACATTTATGAATTCTTTTGTGTCCTGAATGTCAGATTTTGAAATTGAATGCAATCGCTCAACCGTGTGTGCCAGTTTTGGAAATACTACTTCATTATTGTGCTTAGTTAATTCTATTGGAAACTCTTGCTTATCACATTGCTTTGATAAAATATAATCACTTTCGGGTGCCTGTTTAATACTTTCGGCTAAATTGTATTTAGTTCTTTCATCTAAAAGGAACTTAGCAGTAATTGATTTAATATCGTTCGATTGTAAACTGTCTTCACTATCTGGTTCCCTATGGAACTCTTTCGCCATATCAGAAACTTTACGCTTTGAGCATATCTTTTCGCAAGCTACTTCAAGGTTTTCAACACTCGGGCTTGTTTTATCCATATGGAGCACCGGCGAAACTACCTTCTGTTCAGGAGCACGGATTGCACCCAGATTTTCTAGAACCAAGTCAGTTTCGCTTAAAATCTGTTGTTCTATCGTGGATAAATCAGGCTTGCGATCTACTGTTTCACGCTTACGTGGACTAAAAGGTGTAACATCTAAGCTCGTTGAGGTATACCTACGTTCAATGTCTTGGACAACTTCTTTTACTTTTGGCAATGTCTCTAATATATTTTCCTTACTTACTAAGTCTTTCGGTAAAATGCTGCCAGGTACCTGTTCTACTTGCCTATTTTTATCTACTACCTGCTCATCCAAAGTCTTTTGCGTTTCATTTAAGTCTTCTGCCACCACAAAGGCCTTTCGCTTCTCACAAATCTTTTCGCACACCTCTTCTTCAATTTGCGCCATACCAATTGCTCCCCGCTCCATAGCCACAACAGGTGAACGCTTAACAACTTCGGTAGGTGGCTCGCATCTAGTTAACTTATCTAGTGCGAGATCTGCAGCAGTTAGTATCTGTTTCTCTACCTCAGAGATGTTCGGCTCTTTATGTTCCTGATCTGTTGCTCGCTTATGTACTGGAAATGGAATAGCCTCAACTTCAGTACCGCTTATCTTATTCTCAATGCTCTGGACCACATCTTTAACAACTGTCACTTGATCGCCTATGTACTTGGGTGGTGCGCTCTGTTGTGTGGCATTGGATTCCAAGGATTCCGTACTGCCATAGCTCTCCAAGCGCAATATCTTTCGCCTCACATCACCACAGCCCATGATCTGCTCTAAGTATTCCCTATCGCCAGCATCACGCTGGCCATCATCCAGCTCCGTTTGTTTCTTTGGATGATCGATTGGTTTTGCAGTTAAATCTACTTTGGTGCGTTCTACTTGCGTAGTCAGAGTCGTCGTTGTTGTTGTTGTGGTCGTTGTCTTCGGAGTTGGACTACTTGCACTCATTTCTGTAAATGAGGTAGTGTCTTGTGAGTATGGTTTCTGTATAGTGGGGGGAGCTGCCATTCTATGTAGCAGCTTATCAGTTTCATCTGTACTTGTAAATGTTTCGGTTTTTACATTATGAACACTGAAGTGCTCTGTTTGAGGCGTTCCAGGTGGGGTGGCGCAATATTTTTAAGAAGTAGAAACAAGGCAATATTTAGACAGTTAAACACCTATTACAAACAAACCAGACTTATATGGTGGGTTAGTTTATATACACTGTGCAATTGATTGCATGACTACAAGCTTGTACGCCATAAAAGAACCCAGCAGCAGGCACAAACATGCAATTTGTTGTACGGTATAAGTAAATGCGCTTATTATTACATATGTATTCAGTTAGTTGATAAAGCAGAACAGAATGCGTCTCGATAGACAGATAGAATTAAATGCCAGTCGAGCATTTCTTATTATGTACTATGCTCTGCCATGTAAGTCTAGAGTATGGTCTATATGAAGTCGTGGATTCCTTGCCCATTTGCTGCTCTGACATCATTTTGAAATTGGACTCAACTTGAAATTTTCATTAATTACGTTTGCATATTTTTTCACAAGAATATTTAAGCAATTGTTGTATGTTTTAGATTTTGCATTCATTTTGGAGTTTGGAAACAAACTTAAAAAGACAAAATTAGCAAACTACTGCAAGAATAATGATACCACGACATCATATGTCACATACGATACGATGCAGCCTTCGAATTAATCAGGCTCAATAGTATAGCAGGTATTTATTGTTGATGTTTTTGTTTTCAATCTAACTTTTACATTTACAGATACATCATACATTATACATAGTATATAGCCAATTGGGATAAGGAAGCGCGTTAGGAGTGCATTAATGTGTATTTGTTGTAAAAGCCGCAAATGCAAAAAATGTAAAAAATCTATAAACTAAACATAGATTACGATTTATGCATGTTTACATAACGGCTACTGTGATGCTATTTTTTTATTTTTGATGTTAATTGTATGTTTTAATATTCAATTAGATTTTCTTTTACTAAACATTTAGTTAAGATATTCGTGGTTTTGAGATGACAGAACGAGAGAGAGAGAGAGTACATATGCTTTTTCGTTAAGGACTCACAGATATTACGAAAAGCAAACAGAACATAATCAAATAAATGATAAAATTATTGGAAACTTAAAGCCATGGCGGATATAGATATCGAAATTGGAATTGAAGTGCTAAATGCGGCAGTTTGGTTGGGATCGAAATGCGAAATGAGATCACAATGGACTTGGATCTATTGTTTTCCATATATAATTTTATTTGGTCATTCAACTCATTTCAGATCACAACACACATTACGATTGACAAATGAATCTATATAAATTTCGAAAAGTTCGAAAATATCGAAAATTTGAGTGTTTATCTTAATGAAAAAAATCTTATAGTACATTGTTTATATGTTGTATGTTATGTACACTAGTTATATTGGCTTAACTTGTTTTTGTACTTATTCATTTGTATTTGAAATGTTTGAATTGAAATTGAATCAATTATTGTAGCTTGCAGTATTTGACAGTAAAACATAAACTAGATTGCATAAATAATTGCTGAAAAATTGCAAACGTAATTGTCGTTTTATATTCGATCATAAAATAAACAATTATGGTTCATTATTATTGTTGCTGGATGTACAAAAATATTTATATTATACTCTATAAAGTGTGGGAGAGAGAGAGACCTATTAGCGATACCCATCTTATATGCTTAGAACTTTTCTAATTGCAACTTTTCAAATTTGCTTTTTTCAGAACTTACCATAAAATTACAATACTTAAAGTTACTTTAGTGTTTGGGTATTGAGTTTTATAAAGTTTTGAGTGTAGTTTAAACTAGTTTTGTTTTGTATTCAAGTTAATTTAAGATGTTATCAATGCATTGAATAAACCACAAACAACAACTCAACGCTACAATGTTCGATTACTACTCGTTAAATTGAAACGCACAAAGAAACACAAAACAAATTAGGCCACAATATAGTTGAGAGCTTTGGCTTGGCCAGAAGGCAGCAGATAGAAGACAGCGCGTCTATAGGAAAATCGGCTACGTATTACCGTCGCGTGTACTTGGGCAAATGCAAATGTGTAACTAAATCTGCGAACAAATGTACGCTCACTGTTTAACTACGCCAAAATGAACGAAACAAATTAAATTAAGTATACGCCAGCGCGTACCATTCGACGGCCTGCGCAGTGACATAACAAACGACACCTACCCCAAAACTACGAGCAGTTATATTATATTATATTAGATATAAGATAATACATACATATTTAGATAAGTCTAACTAGAGCTAACTAGACGAAATAATAGGTTGTATATTGGAAACTTTTATGATTTAAGCTTAAACTTGAATGTACTGCATTGCCCTTTCCCCTGAATATTTACCCAAAAAATGCAATTGCTTTTTATCGATTCGAACATTTTGTGTTGACATTGTCAATTTTGAATGTTAGTCAACCACAGCGGTTGCAGCGGCGCCAGACACTAGCTGAACTATAAGGGATTTTCTCTTGTTTGTGTTTTCCTCATTTTCCCGACCTTAGACTTTAGGTAATTGGATTAGCTATAGTACTGCGACGTTACAACGGTATTTCAGCGGTATTTTCTTGAAGAGCTTTTGTCACCATCTGCTGCTGCTGGCCAAACGCCACTCGGTGAGCTTCAATTTGAGTTAGTGAATTGCGAATTATGGTTTCTTCACATACAGACTTTTTTGATTAAGATATACACACTAGTAGTTTGTTGCTTGATGCTTTTACGACTATTTATTGTTAACAATGAACTTGTTTCGTTTCCATTGAATCGTTGATAGTTTTAATGAATGGTAGTTTGCATACAAAAAGCCTTTGGATTTGAATTCAAAACGAAATGAGTTCAACATACAAAACAAGAGGAAATACCAAATTATAAGTTGTACTAATGAAAATAGAAAACAAAGACACTACAAAAGGCTCAGAAATCATAGGGAAAACAGAAACCAAAAAACAAGGGGTGTTACGAGTTCACTTTCTTATACCAAAAAGGCAAACAAAAAACGTTGGTAAGTCAATTTACATAACAAATACGTTAATTGCATAGAGTAGAGGCAGCACTTACCAACTGTGGAAATGGCAGCGACGCGTTCGAACGTCGACTCTGTGGTCGTGTGCAAAGTGGTCACAGTGTCGGCTAAATAATCTATATATATAGTAAGGAATCACATCAAATAGTGCAATCAATCAGATGTTAATTTACTACAAATTTACCATGCTCTAGATTGCCCAGGTCGGATTGCTCATTCTGCTTCTCGGTTTTGGCATCACTCGGTGTTGGTGGAGGAGTTTGGGAATATGGTATGTCGCTCGCTGAAAGTATAAGTCAATTAGGTATATATTATGGTTTATATCAAAATCTTTTGTATACGCACCTATCTGTTTGAGTTCATCTGTCATTTCAATTAAACCCTCGCTCATCTTTTTGGTAATGGTCTCACCGACATATTTGCAGAACTCCGCATCGGTCAGCGATTTGCGTGGTTCAATGGACAGCGGTGCAGAGAGTCCTTCTTCTTTGAGGACATCGCTCAATGGCACTGTGGCCCGCTTATCGAACGTATCGCTATCATGTTCTGACATTGCTTTAGGTATACTAGGCTGCTGAGCTTGTTGCTCCATCGCTAGAAAATCGGCAGTCAGCTTGCGTGCGGCAAATGGTGAAACTTCGCCAATTGGTGCAGCAGACTCGATGCCATCTCCTGCCACGATGTTCGTCTCGGGCTCTACGACTGTGGTTTTAGGTTCCTTGTCAGTGGTAGTTTTTATCTCAGTTATGACTGTTGGTTCCTGCGCAGCAAGTTTTGTCTGCATCACTTCTGGCAAAATGGTTGTTTCAGCGATAATCTTTGGAGACTGAGCCTGGGGCTGAGGCTGCGACTGAGGCTGCGACTGAGGCTGCGACTGAGGCTGAGTTTGTTGCTCCATCTTCAAAAAGTCTGCGGTAAGCTGACGTTCGTTTAGTGGAGCTGGCTTCTGCTGTTGGCTGCTTGCCACCCCAGCTGGTTTCACTGTTTCCTCGACTATTGACTTTCTTGGTTCTACAACAGGTATTTTACTGGCTGGCGGTGCTGCTTTTACAGATATCACGGATTCTGGCTCGGAAGCTGTTGATGTCTGGCTGGACTCGATCAGCGACTCGGGTGCACTTCGCAGGCTGGGCAGCTGGCTTTGCTGTTCCATACTCAGGAAATCATTGGTTTTCTGAAGTGTATCAAAGACAATGTGCTCCTCGATTTTGTGGAATGTCTCGATAACACCAGCTACTTTTTCTGCTACTTTATCTTCCTTTTTGGCTGATTCGTGCAGTTCTTGCTGAGCTGTAACCTGAGGTTCCACCTTTTTTCCAGCGAGTCCCTCTACCTTATCAGCCACCTCTGCTGGCTTGTCGGTTTTGATTATCTTTTCTTCGATCTTGTGGAATGTGTCGATCAGGTCGGTCAATTTTTCATTCACAGTTTCGGCCTTGGCAGCAACCTCGGGTTGTGGCTTGGGTTGTTCGGCAGCCATTCCAGATGTCATAATCGTTGCAGTGGATACTACAATGTCATCAAAGATTTTCGCCTCCTTGTCAATTGACTTTCTGGGCTCCACCTTCGGTATCTTACTTGCAGCCGGAGCTGCTTTGGGCTCGACTGCCGGCAGCTGTGTCTTTTGCTCAGCCTGCAGAAAATCTTGTGTCAACTTTCGGGCATCCACTTCGGCAATCTTGGCACCTTCTCCGGTCTTGACTGGAATCTTTGAGACTTGTTTCTCAACCTTAGCCTCGACAGGTTTATCGAACTCCGTTTCAGTTGCAGCCCGAGGGGCTGCTGTCGGCTTAAGGGGCTCTTCGCTAGATCGCTTTACAAGCTTGGGTATTTGTGTCTTTGGCTCGCCGCCATGGAAATCGTATCTAACCTTTTTGGCCTCGAAGTCAGCAATTTTCTCCTCAATTTTGGTGCTCTCAATTTCAACTGTTTTGGAAATCTCTTCCCCAGCTGTAACTTTGGTTTCTTGCAGCTGCTTTATGGTCTCGCTGACCTTCGTTGTGTCTTTGGTTAGCTCACTGCTCTTCTCCTTGATTTCTTGTTTGCCACTCTCGAAGGAACTGATTATATTCTCCACTTTCTTGCTAGCAGTTTCAGTAACTTCACTGATGACTTGCTCCACCTCTTTGATGGTTTCCTGAGCAATTGTTGCCACAGGACTGGTCTTTTCCTTGAACTCCTCTGAGAACTTTTCATGAACTGTAGCCGTCGTTTCGGATGGCAGTTGATTACGCTTTTCGAATTCCAAGAAATCCTCGGTCATGTCACGCGCTTCCTGGCGGGTAATAAAGCCCACTCGGCTAGTCGTTGCCGTATCCTTCTTGGCCGTCTTCTCAGCGGAGGTTATGTCCTGGACAATCTTATCAACCTTGTCTGGAGATGGCGGCTCTTCTTCTTCTGAGCTGCGTCCGGAAGTTTTGAGCTTATGTGTCAGCTCCTTATCAAATTCGCTCTTGCTCACTTCAGTGGAATCCATTTTGCCCATCTTCATCTTGATGACCTGCTCAGGCACTGTCGTGGTTTTGATTATGACATTGTCGGCGGGTAGCTGCATAAGAATCTCTGATTCGTGGTGCGCCTTTTTATCCTCAATCAAGCTCTTGCGTTTGATCTCAGTAATCTCTCGTGTAATTTCCTTCTTTTGGGTTGAGGCTGGTATGGAGCGTTCTACCGAGAGACGCTTGACGATTTTCTCTCGGCGTTCGGCAACGGTTCGTTTTGCTGGCTCCTCATCGGACTCAGACTCTTCAACTTCCTTCTCCTCAGCAGAGTATTTGACTTCTTCGCGTTCGTTGATTTGCTGGATTCGCTTACCTAAACGCAAATATGTGCGGGTATTAGTTTTATGCTGTAAATGCCCAATAGTAAATACTCACTTTCTCTGCGGACCAGCTCCTCTATTGACTCGGAGTTCTTCATAAGATCTGCCTCGTCAAACTCTCGCGAATGCGACAATCTGCCACTCTTGCACTTCTTCATGATGTCGTCTCTTCCGATGTTTTTAAGAGCTGTTTCCAGTGCTAGAATATCGTAGTTTGGTTTATCTTTGTACAAGCGAATCATGCTCTGCGCCTGTCGCGCAATACTGTCGGTATTTTGGTTGATGATTTCGTCAATCTCATCGGCTGTTATGCCTATCTCTGGGGCCAATTGTATCCAGTCCTTGCCCAACAAATTGGATAGGTCTACAATGCGTATGTCGCCAATGTAGTGATCGTTCTGATGCTTGCTCAGGCTGAACATCGAGGTGCGATAGGCAGAGGAGACGCGTTCAGAGAATGCTGTTGTCGAATCGGGTATGACAGCCTCTGGCAGGACAATGTTGAGTATGCAGATGGGTTGCTGTGGAGGTTCGCCCTTGGCCACCTTGGGCTCCTTCATGAACAGCGTGCGACCCACAATATCTGCATGCTGATCTTTTACACGCACCGTGAAGGGCAGACGATTCTCGCGGAAGGCCTTGAACTGCAACTGTAATTGATCACCTGACTTGGTAACGGGCACTAGATTGCCAGCCATTTCAATGTATTGTGGTTTGCCTTCGAGCACCTCGACATCACGGCTCTTGGCTACCTCGGTGTATAGCTCATGCTTCTCGAGAGTTTTATCCTCGCGATCGTCGGTCATACAGAAGACGCGCAGCCGTGCCTCGAAAGGCTCAATTTTCTTGGCAAATACCACAAATCTGGCTATGAAGGGCACGTGAATGACTTCCCTATAACGAGCACATGGTTAATATGATCTATATGAGATCTAGCTTTTAATATTCAACTTACTTGTACAGCTCTGTTGCCATTTTGGTGGCATCGGAAATGTTGCGACAATCCATCAGCCAGAAACGGGCAGAAACTGTTGTCGTGAATGATACGCAGTCGTTGACAAATGTCAACGGCGTGGAGCCCGTTACATCCTCCCATTGGGCTCGTGACGGTCCGCCTAATGGGTAATAAGACGTTCAATTTTCAAGCATAGATCAGCGTAAAGGCGATTTGCATAGTCTAAATATGAATAACTCTTTGAAAACTCTACTTATGTCTTATTAGCAGATCATTATGTAATTCGAAAAATTGTTCAACTAAATGAAAATGAAAAAGTTTTTGTCTTTAAAGAGAGAGAAATACGGTAGTGTGTTATAATTACAAAGCAATTGTTTATATGTATTAAAGAGTATTATTGAGAAAAGTATTAAGATGTAAGTTATTTCTAAAAAGTACCGAATATGTATTTAGCGTAAGAGTTATAGAAAAATTAGTAAATTGTTTCTTGTAGTCTGTGTGTCTGTGGCATATCGTATTTATATATATATATATATATGTATAGATTAATGTGATGCTGTGACTGGGATAGGTCTAAGCCTTGTATGGATCAATGTACATGTTATGTATGTGTATGTGTCTATGTATGTGTGTGTGTGTCGCACTTTAGGTTCAAGCATTATAGGCATTTGTTAAATTAAATCTTTGGAAGGCTGTAGCATTTACAGGGATATACAGGTACTAAAGGTACTTGTTACGCTGACTTCGAAGCCATTTTGAAACAACATGCTAAATATGTTTGGAATAATAAAATTGTTAGACTTTTCAATGATAATTAAGTGAGCGTGTTTTACGTGTTCCTTGTATATGTGTAGAAAACAAGAAAAACGAAAACGGAATCAACCGAAACATACAAAATCATAGATATTTAATAAAAAAAAAAAAAAACTTAATAAGATAAGATAAATAAATAGACCTTGACTTGTTTATATACAATAAACAAAATATATTTTGGTTCGTAAAATATATAATATAGAGCTTAATTTCATTAATAGCATAAATTTCTTATTCTTTTCTCCTTCTTTTTATTTGTCTGTGAATATTTTTGATTAATTTTTATTTTTTTCATTTTTCATTTTCTCGGTTTCAGAAAAGTTCTCTTTGGGGCCACAAACAGTTGAAATTCGAAATCGAATAAGTTATTTTTTGAAAACAATTTATATAGATAATATGTGAATATATTCTGCTTTATATTAAACTCAAAAGAATGCATAACAAATCAAATTAAATCTGAACAATCTAATAAAACAACGAAACTACGAATTATCTTAAGTGCATGACATTCCAAATTAAGAATAAAATGGGAACGAAAGATATATGATAAATAAAGACAGTAAAGAAATAATTCAGTTCAAGTCTGGCCTTGATTTAAATTCGGTTTCATTGGCCCAAAGAGCAACTTTAGCAACTTGTTTTATTAGAGACCTATTAACACTTTTTTATTGTTTAATGAAAATGTGCAATTGATATATGTATAGCAAAAACCGCGTGCAGTCAGAAATTTCATTTAAGATATTTGTAATTTATTCTTATTTAGTTAGTTTAGAGAAAGAGAGATAGAGAGAGAGAGAGAGAGAGAGAGCGCAGCAAAAGAGTTGTTTTTGTAGGACAAGCTTAAGAGTTCGAGAAAGTTAGCTTACTTCAAAAAAACGAAGCTGCTTTGATCTGAAGAAGCCTTGGCTTTAACAATTGGAAAGAAATCAGGAGAGGCCCAACAGAATTTGTTCCTGATCTTCATTTTATTTTATTTAATTTGCTTTTTATTTGACAGAAAACCCAAAGACGCAGCGCAACCCGAATTCAGGCAGAGAACAAAAAAATAAATAAATAAATAAATAACGATTCCAAAATGAAGTCAAATAAATTAAAGCAAAATATATCGAAATGAAATAAACATGTTGAAAGCATAGTAAAATATTAACAAAATTAAATACATATTTTTAGAAATATTTGCAATAGTTTTTGTTTTTTTTTTTTTTTAATAAGAAATTTGTTTTTAAATAAAATATGCAGAATTTTCAAATATTATTTTTGATTGAAATTTGCTAAATTGTTTCATTTGATATTTTTTATATTTGGTTCATATTCAATATAAGTAACTATGTTTTGTTATTATTGTTAATTGTTATTAATATATATATTTTTTTTGGCATAGAACGAAACAACTAAATATGAACAAATAACATTTTGTTTATATTGTAAACAGAGTTTCAATTTGAAGAAACTTCATACATGTTTGTGAATTTCTGAATTTATTTGATTTTTTATGGTTTTTTGGACATTTTGTCATTTTTTAGTTACCTTTTAGAGACCTTTTCCGAAACACACCTTCAATGGATTGAGAAAACAGAATGGAATGCGTGCACAAATGCATTTGACGCATTAGTACAAAATTATAGAACAATTAAATACGGTTTCAATTAAGAATTTAATTAAACTATTTTTGTATTTTTAGTTTTGCTTTGTTCCAAAAATCAAAAACATATTCAACTGAAGTTCAAGGAAAATCATAGAACAAAAGTCATATATATATGTACATAAATAAGAAAAGAAGAGGACGAATATATATATTTATATATATATAAATATATATAGTATAATATATACTGGATCAAACACTGTTTGGCACAATGATAACATTTAATTGAGTACGAGAGAAAGAGATAGAGAGTATATGTGTGATTGGGTTCGTATTTGTATCTGTATTTGTGTGGGTGTAGCTTGGAGTATGAGCGTATTCTATGTCGGTATGCGGGGGTGAATGAACATTTAACTATGCTGTTTGCTGTTACGAATACTGTTGCTGTAATTTTTACTGTTTACTGTTAAGATTACTGTTACTGAATATAAAAACGAGGCTACTGTTAATTAAATTTGGATCGCAATTTCAAATTGAATTTGGAGTAAATGCTGCAGAAACGAAATAGAGTTTAACCCGAAACAACTTATACGCATCAACTACACAGACACAAGCACATTGTTGCTATCAAATGCGACCTGGATTTTTGGCAATTCACGAATTATTATAATTATTAGTATTAATATTTTAATTATTATATTGGTAATTTGGCAATTTTCACTGTACAACATTTTATGTATATAGATATATATGGCATGTATATATAGTACATGATAATTGTATGTAGTACATTATAGTTAAATAAAGAGGAAATATATACTAAACGAAATCATACTAAATACACACTAGAGTTGGACTAAAGGAGAAAACTAAATGGAAACTAATTAGAAAACAAAGTGGAAATGGAATTATAAAAGGAAAGCCTGAGAGGCTTACAGATACAGAGAGAGAGAGAGAGGCTTCAGGTATTCGTTACTCATATAAAAAACATCAACCAACAAAACAACATAATGTTAAGTAGATACTCATTATTTATGTAATTTGCTTGACAACAACACAAAAGGGAAGAACACAAACAAAGTTAACTTACCTGTTATCGAACAGAGCAGGCGTAGCGTTGGCGTATTGCCCGAGTACTGATTGATCATGCCCTGGCTGTGTGCCTTCGGGGCGGGCATGCTCAGTGTGATTGCCTTGTGGAATTTGCGACGGCGCGGCTCGACCGTTACGATCGGCGAGACGGCAACGCCGCGACCCAATAGCTTAGCCGTTAGATCTGGATCAACTGGTTGGGCCTAGAAATGTAACGAATTTTCGGCACTATAGACAACAAAAATCGATTTTCGGGCCACACACACACACTCTTTAGCAATTATGGTAGATGAGGAACACAAAATTGAATAAAATAAAACTATATATACGAACTATGCGTCATTTGTTAAAATATATACATATATCTATATCTATATATGTATAACTCTAATGCATAGAAAAATACAAAAACTAAAATTAAAATTTTAAAAATGAAATGAGTTTTGGGCTAAATGGTGAACATTTTTGTTTTTTGTCTTTTGTGTCATATTCTTTTTGTTGTTTTTTATACAATGCTTATTTAGGATTTAGATGTTTCATTCATACAACTATTATTTTTAATGGTTCTATTGAGCAATCGCATGTTTTTAGTTAAGTTAACTACAAACAATAACAATGTTCAAGCCCATTTATGTCCCAATAAATTTAGTTATCAAAAAAAACTTTGACTACAACTTAATCGAATCCTAGAAAACGAAAATCTCAGCAATTTGCTGAAAATCATATTTTATTGAAATTTATATACAAAATGCAAAATAAAATGTGCTAAAAAAACGTTTTAAACTCATGAGTGGGGCCATCATAAAATCGTTTTTTCTCTTTTTTTTTTTTTTTTTTGGCTTACAACTTCGTTAGGCATTTCTGAACCGAACCCAATTGTAACGGTCTCTAAGCATTTTTACAATACATATATACAACTATATAGTATTTCACAATTCCATTATATTTCTTTTTGTACTCAAAAAAGCAATTTAATCGAAAAATTAATGAATAAAAATTAAAATTAATGAAAAGATTTTCATTGTTATAAAGTTTTTGTTGAACTAAATTTATTGGGTATAGTACTTCATTTCAGTAAACTTTTATAATCTTATGCATAGGTAAGTTTTTCTCTTTTCTTTTCTTTTTTTTTTTTTTTTTTTTTTAATATGATAATTTATAATAATAATAGGCATATGTATATTTAGTATTATTATTAGTTGTCTACTTCGATTGGACAATTTGTTCGTTAAAGTTTAAGAAAATATGCGATTTGTTGGATAAGTCACTTGATCCATGATCAATCATCGTAAATAGATTAATATATTCATTTAAATATTATTGCATGTCACTCTAAAGTAATTCCTTCTTTGTTTTGTCGTGGAGTGCCAAATAATTCTCAACTAGTTCTGCAGTGTGATTTCTAGTAAATTCTCAAACAAAGTGCACATATATATACCATAAGTAACACATAAAGCCCCCAAAACAACAAAAAAATTGTAATATTGTAACTAGAGGCATTCAAAGTAGGAATATTTTTAAACAAATCTAAATACTAGTATTGGAGTAGAATATTTTGATTAGATAATAGGTTCCTTTCAAGTTAATCTGAGCTGATCATGCTATATATATAGATATATGTACGTGTATATCATCGACGCGAGTTACAAAGTTTTTGGAGCGGTATTACATCTTGATTAATTAATTAGTATTTAAATGCGTACTTTTAATATTTTGGAAAACTTGGCTGATATACTTTGAGGAAGCTATTTATGTTAAATGCACGATTATTGGTGTATACTCTATATAAATCGATCGTTTACTTTTCTTTACGTTGATCTTGCTTCTTGATTTACCAAATGAGCGAGAAGCGCTTCTTTTTGGGCACATGATTGACGCTGATCTTGCGTAGTTTCTCGGGCGCAACGCCTTTGCGTGGTTTAAAGAGGTTTACCTGTAAGCCAACTTTGATTTTCTTGGTCAGGGCTCCCTGTGGGAAGACGGCCTGAACCTGCGGCACCACAGTGCTGGACACCATGCCGCCTTCGGGTCCAATTGCATGCACCTCCTGGCGTATACGTGATACGACAGCAAAATACTGCGGGAAATCGTAGGTGACAAAGCGACAGACATGATTGCCGGCCTGCTCCTCCAGCTGAGCGATTTCTGTAGCAGCACAAGAAACGAATTGAAAATTGAAATGAGGAAAACTCATTTAAGTCAAGCCAAGTCCACTCACCCTCTGGCTCGAAGCACTGTTGCATGACATCGTGAATAACCTCCTCGGAGTTGTCAATGGTATGTTCTCGCCAGGTTTCGCCGTTGTCGGAACGCAAGATAATGATCTCACGCTCCTTGCCACGCAGCGAGGCGAAATGCGGCACCTCCATGACAACGGGCCCAATGAACTTGGTCGAGCACGGTCCCAGTTCAAGCACGCGGCTGGCCAAGGCCTCACCCTCCATCAACTGCGGTGGATGCATGGTGCGCTGCGGCTTTACATAGCGGCAGGTCACCCGCGTCGGCTGGCAGGTGGAGCGCGACGGTATTATCATACGGACGCCGCTGTGGCGACAGCCACGCATGGCACCGCCGCGTGCATCCACCAGGAATGAGACCAGGAAGCTCTTCCAGCTCAGCTTGCGACTACAAAGAGTACAAAATTAGGAAACATACTTGAGTGAGTCGATTGCTATACCTACCCCACATGTGGTGGCTCATCGTTGCCAGCTCCATTGGCTATATAGACACCGTCGACCGTTGCCTTGGGCGAGTTGCCATAGACTTGAGCCTTGTGCGGACTGATCATCTCCTCGCCAATGGTAGGCGGTACTCCACCTGCATACTCAGCACTTTGGGTCATGCGATTGGAGTCCATGCGCTCATCGCGCGTAACATCAATGGGCAGCGAGTCATCGCCTAGGGATTTCATTTCATCAACGGTCAGATAGCGATAAGGTTGATCGGATAGCATATTATCTTCGCCTATGGGATTTTATTTTTCGTTTATTTGCGTAGCATTTCGGTTGCATTCCACAGCATTTCAATTAAGCACAAGACAGTCCAATTGGCCATATAGCGAAGTATTGTTGTTGTTGTATTGTGTTGTATAGTGTTGTTCAGTAGTAGTAGTTGTTGTTGTTGTTATTTGATTTGCAGATGATGAGAGCGCAGTGCATTGAAAATAGAAGAATGCAAATGAGTTTTTCTTTTAGTCGAGAAATTTCGTCAACACTACATGCATATTTTGTATAAGTAGATACATATATATTAATAGGATGATATGTAAAGCTAGCATGAATCATAAATAGGAGCAATAGTATATAACTTATTTTATAGATTATATCAGATACATCATTTAATATATATATTTTGATATAGTATTTCATGCCGTGGTACAAAAAATTCACAATTTTCACCCAAAAACCTATCTCTTGTATATTTACATGGACATCAAGGTATTCGAAATGAAACCGTTATGTATTACAAAAAATTATAAATTACTTATATCAAGAAAACCATAACGATTTCATTTCTGTATAGTTTAAGTGTTTAAATCAAAGAATTGGGAAGGTGTTGAGCACACCTTTCTCTGGTGTTTACGACAACGTCAAGATATAGTTTATACATTTAGGCGAGGCAACCATATAAAGTGCTGCATTATCCTTGTTAATTGATTATAATTTGGATTCCAATTAGATTCCAATCAATGCCAATTGGTGCACTTGATAGCAGTCGGCTCTTCAATATTAATTTACAATTGGCCTTGCCACGTTTCAATTTACAACTTACTGGAGACATATAGATAGTCGCCCTGGTAATACGGTTGAAAGATCTGGATGTCTGGCCTACGGTCTCGATCACCGCCAATGCCAAACTCGTAGCATGCGTCCAATTCCCATTCTGTGTCACCTGACGGCACACATAAAAGGGGTTTGTTTTTTTTTTTCGATTTACTTAAGACTAATCATAACTTAGAGTATTGCTGTAGTCGAAGTTTGTGTATGTGTTTAGGTGTAAACCGAATAGAAGTCTATACATACCACCCTCTTCCTCGGAATCGGACATGAAGGATTCGTGCATGGCTTCTGGCGCCACGACGCGATACTTTTCCTCTGTCTGAGCGGCAGCAGTGGCATCCTCGTCCTCCTTGGTAATCGACTTGAGAGAATCGAGCACACTGATGTAGCCCAACTTGCGTGCAATATGCAAAGGTGTCTGACCATTGACAGTCTGGGCATTTGCATTGGCCTTGTGCTCCAGCAGTAAGTTGACAATATGGCAATGGCCCTGCTGAGCGGTCTGATGCAAAGGAGTATAACCAGCCTTGGTGGCCATATCGATGTTAGCTCCGTTCTGCAGCAAGAAACGCACCATGTTGGCCTGGCCGAAGTGGGAGGCCACATGCAGCGGAGTATAACCAGCCTTGGTGGCCATGTCGATGTTGGCGCCGTTGCGTTGTAGAATCTCAGCAACATTGACATTATCTTCCTGAGCGCACAGATGCATGGGTGTTAGACCGTTCTTGGCTGGATGATTGACGGCAGCCTTGTGCTCAATCAGTAAGTTGGAAATCTCGGCATGTCCCTCCTGGCTGCTTAGATGCAGTGGCGTGAATCCAGCCTTGCTCTCAGCATTGGCCTGAGCGCCGTATTCCAGCAAAGTGGTAGCAATGTCCATCTGGTTCTTGCGCGCCGCAATGTGCAGCGGTGTATGTCCGTTCTTGGCGGTGGCATGTGGACTGGCGCCCTTCTCTAGCAGCAGCAAGGCCACCTGCTGGTTGTTGTAGTGGCAAGCCACATGCAACGGGGTAACACCATTTTTGCCCTGTGCATCGACATCCGCCTCCTTCTGGAGCAGCAGTTGAGCGACCTTTATGTGCCCATACTTGGCTGTCAGATGCAATGGCGTAAAGCCCTTCTTGGTGGCTGCGTCCAAAGCAGCGCCGTTCTCGATCAGCACAGCGGCCACCTAAATAGATAATGACTTATAAATATACTGAAATTGCGTTTCTCTATGCATCACTTTTATGTCTACAAAAATTCAATTGTGAAAGCAATGCACAGATCTAACTACCTGTTCACGAATACAACTTAATATGAGCTAAAAATCATAAATAAGAAATCAATGTAAAGAATACCAAAATAATATCGAAGTGGACACATTTATTTATGGCCAACATAATAGACAATAACAAAAGACATAACGAAACTCGTAATACTCGATGAATGTAACAAAAATAAAAATAAAAGTTATAATTAAAGCAAATATACATAAGAAAACTTAAAAACCAATTTCAAATGAAATACTCCTGATGACGTATCCAGAACAATTGCATTAGGTAGACGGTGTCGATGTGATCCGTTATCTTTTTGGCAATCAAGTCTTTTACCTCATCCTGGCCCTCCTTGGCGGCAATATGCAGTGCCGTGTACATGTCCTTCGTAGTGGCATCCACCTGAGCGCCATGCTGCAACAACAGCATCACAATATCAACGTTGCCCAAACGCGAAGCGATGTGCAACGGCGTTTGCTGTTCCCGAGCACGTGCATCAACCTGGGCGCCATTGCGTAAAAGAATACGTATGATGTCCGTCTGAAGTGAAAAATAATAAAATTTGAAATTAACGTTTTATTGAATATGATAATCTACGTAAACTATCGATGATTTAAAATATCGAGTACTTAAACAGGAGAAGAACAAAACGATTTAATGGATTACTCAAAAAGGCTTTCGATAACAATTAATATTTTTGGTATCGATAGGAGCCTTTAACGAAAAGGAACTTTGAACGACACTCACCTGATTGGCGCGTGCAGCCAAATGCAATGGAGTCTCGCCACGCACAGTGGGCACATCGGGGCTGGCGTCGTGCTGCAGCAAGTAAATGACGATGTTCATGCAACCCATGAAGGCGGCCACGTGCAGCGGAGTTAGACCGCTTTCCGTAGTAGCGCTAATGCTGGCGCCGTGGCGAAGCAACAGCTCTACGACCTTCAAGCGGTTCTTTTTGCAGGCAATGTGCAGTGGTGTAAATCCATTGAGTGCACGTGCGTTAGCATCGGCATTACGGTCCAGCAGGAGCTTGGCCACACGCACATGTCCGCAATGGGCGGCCACATGCAGAGCAGTGAGATAATCGACGGTGACCTCATCCACTGGTGCGCGATGATAGAGCAGAATGCGAGCAGCATCCACATGCTCGCCCTGGGCGGCCATGTGCAAGGGCGCCAAGCCGTTCTTGGTTTTGGCGCTGATTGGGGCACCGCGCTCTAACAACATGTCTACGACTTGCTCGTGGCCGGAACGTGCGGCACAGTGGAGTGGAGTGAGGCCATCACGAGTCTTGGCCTCGATGTTGCCGCCCTTCTCGAGCAACAGCGAGACCATGTTCGTCTTGCCCCATTTGGCAGCCACGTGCAAGGGGCTGATGTTATGCTTGGCCGAGTAGTTGACATCGGCGCCCTTCTGGATCAACAAATTGGCAATGTTCTGGTTGCCATAATGGGAGGCAATATGCAGCGGTGTAAAGCCCGACTTGGAAGTCACATCCGGATTGTGGTCATTCTGTGGGAGACAGTAGCTAACTATCCGAACGATATTCAATATGTGATATTTACTTACATCCAGTAGAAGCGTAGCAGCCTTTACGTCATCCTTTTTGGCAGCTATATGCAGTGCTGGCAAGCGCACCTTGCCGCGTGTATCGCTCTCGAGAAGCACGGCTACAACTTTGTCGTGTCCCTGCTGCATGGCTACAGCCAGCGGAGTGAAGCCATCCTCCGTGGCCAAGCTCTGGTTAGCGCCATTAGATAACAAGAGACGAACTACTGCATCGTGATTCTCTTGGGCAGCCATGTAGAGGGGAGTGAAGCCATTCTGTGACTGCACATTGACAGAGGCATTGTGCTCCAGCAATAGCTTCACCACCTCCTCCTGTCCAGCCAGCGAAGCAATGTGCAACGCTGTATTCCCCTTCTTGGTGGCGCTGTCAACAATCGCACCGCGTCGCAGCAGCTCCGAGACAACGTGTATGTGTCCATCCTTGGATGCTAAATGCAAAGCATTCAGGCCGTTCTACAAAGGATTAGTTGAGGAGAGATTAGGTATTGAATTCCACCTTTCATGAAGAATTTACTTACCGCATTGCTAGTGTTAATGTCAATGTTGTTCTTTAGGTGTTCCAGCACGCGCTCCAAATTTCCAGCGCGTGCGGCACGAAGGAAGGAAGTATTGCCATCGCCCTAAAATTATAAAAGATGATCTTATATAAGTAACAATATAAAACAATATAATATAATAAAGGGAAATGAATTTTGTTCATAGAATTCCTATATAACAGAGAAAGCGAGAGGTATGTCCGTATAATCGAAATATTTTCTGCATAATTAATCAAACTAATCATCAAATAGACAAAACATTTTCTCATTCTCATTTAGATTGATTTTATATTTAAATAATTTTAATCAAATTTATTACACTTTAACAGAGTTGTATAACTCAGTTTTTAAGTTGGGCAGAGCTATAAATCAAAGAGCGGTTCTCTGTCCTTGGCCAAACGTAAGTTGCGTGCCAGCTGCGTGTTCATCACAAGAGCTTTAGTTGTAGCTGAGGGCTGTTATTGATCGTATATGTACCTGCATGTGGGTAAAGAACCGTTACAGTCGTTGCGCAACTGAAGCTCGCACTGTGAACTGTGAACCGTGCACCTGGTAGCAAGGGCAGGGGTATAGAAGTGTGGAAGAAGGGAGACCAAGTTCAGTTAGCTGACGGTCAAGGCGAGGGGTCAACGTCAGCGTTTTCAATGCGCAGGTGTAATTCGGCTTTATGCCAACAGCTGCCTTCCCTCCTTCTTTTTTTAATAGCCACCCACAATTTGTTTATGTTTTCGCTTTGCTTTACGCTCCACTGAGCAGCATTTGGGGCGCGTTGCTTGGAATTCGATATCGAAAATGACGTCATGATGTGACATTGGAAAACTGCAAGTGGAAGGCGGCTTCCAATTGGAAGGTTGATTTTCGCACTGGATACGCAATGCCGACAACGTTGTAAGTGACCGCAGACTAAAACCGAGCCGCCGTTTCCTGTCGGAGACCAGCTCCTAAGCTGTTGCAATGCATAGAGAGTAAGCGAAGATAGAGCGAAAGAGAGGGGAAGAGGGCGAGAGCAACGGTGAGGGCAAATTCGAGGGCTCGCCCCTCAGCCAATAAGGAAGTTGAAGCGGCACCTATTCATGGCATGGCTGGGCCAACACAAAACTCATTTCATATGCTTTTGTACATAAGTGTATATATATTGAAGAAGCCCAACTCTAAAGGATGTCTTTAGGCGCTGGCCGCTTCCTTGTTTGCCCAACTTGATGAGGGGCAGACACACACAAAAACACATTCTAGCAGCCAAAGTTCAAAGGTGGCTCTCAGGGATTGTATAACAAGCTCAATTGAATGCTTGAAGCCTTGAAGTGGATTTCCTTTGAACTTGTGCAACAAAATGTCGCCCAAGTAGCTAATCAGCTCGAGGCTCAAAACTCGAGTGCAGATTATAATGGAAAATCGGTGCAACAAATGGAGTGATATTCATTAAGAGCCAGAGAGCAAAGGCAGAATATGACTCATATTATGGATTTTCTCTACATCTCGTTTGTGGCATGAAATGTCGCATGTCATCATTAAATTTAACCTAAATCTGTGTTACCTTGCAACACGGGTTGAGGCACGGACTCACGCACAGCATGTACCGCACCACACCCAGTTCGGATGACAAAATAGCTGTCGCTCAACAATAGTTAGCTATTTATTTATAGCTCATTGTATAAATGAATATGAATACCTTTTATTCATATTCCTACATATATCTTACTCAAATTAAATGCGACTAAGAAAAATCAATAAAACTTTGCCGTCATAAAAATGGTAACCAGGTGCCAGACAGCAGCTATAATTATGTCGAATTCTAAAGTTTCTTTTAATAATTAACAAATTGAGTTTTAATTACTCTTTGCTGCTATTTGCACCCGATTTTTCAGTCCAGACACTGAAAAATCGATAACGTGCAAAATGGACGCCAATATGGCCGTCTCAGACAGTCTGTTCGAAAAGTTAATACCCGCTGCAATTGAAATGAGATATTTTCTCAATTATTTTCTTTACCTGAGCTCCATTTTCAGTGACCATTTTGCGTTCACCGTTTTTCAAATAGAGTAGAACAGCCGAATTTCAATCTTATGATATATATATTTATATGTATATATATCTAGTATAGAAATATTGTGTAAGCGAGGCACGCGTATGTCGTCACTGATTAGTCATAGTTTTTCTTTTTCACTCGGCTAATTAATAAACTTTCTTTTTTGTATTCGAATATGACGCGAATAAAGATTTAACTACTCGAGACTTCTTTTTGTTGAATTTTAAATGCACTCGCATCGATTTTTCCTTGGATTTTATGTAAGCTTTGGTGCATGGGTGTGCGTGTGTGTGCGCGAGGGTGTGTATCTGTCTATGTGTGTGTGTGTCAGTGTACGTTTATATGTGACTGTAACTGTGACTGTGTCGCTGTCCGTGTGTATGTCTGATTGGATTCCTTTTGCTAGTTAACACAGTCGCTTCTGAATTATACACGCTGAGGAGCGGTCGCTTTTTGCTGCCGTTTTCTTCAATGTTCAACTCCAGACTGGATGTTTGCTGGCCCCGCACGAAGAGTCCTACCTTAGAGTCGTGGTTGAAAATCGGTTGTCGGCAACCGAGCAATGCCAGGATTTTCGAAGGACCTGCGCACTTGCTTATTCCAATTGGAAAACGCCGCCCGTGCGGCCTGCGTCTGCGCCACCATCACCCAAGGGTGGTTCACTGGCATTGGAAGCGGAAGCGTTTGCCGCCCAGTTAGCACGTGCGTCTCGCTTTGTTGACATTTGAAGCCATTGGAAGCAGTGCAGCGAGCACGTGTGCAGTGAGTGCAATAATAAACAAGATATTAGTATCAAGTCTTATAAGAAACCAGTTGAAAAATTTAGAAACTGAGATGCTCGATAAAACTCTCTAACTTCGGATTTTTATCAAGGCTATTCAAGAACGTTACATTGAAACTCGAGAGAATATTATGTGTAAATTGATCCTTGGGGACTTGAACAACATTTTTCAGTGGAAAAAGGACCTCCTACCGTCACGTAATTAATTTGCTGTCACACCCAACTGCGTTTGTAATTTCAGCATATTCCAAGTAATTAGCTGAGCAAATATAATCATTTAGAAACAGGTCCTTGGCGCAGTCGGCGTTTAAAACGTTGTTGACTAAGCGTAAACAAAACTAAGAAAAACTACACACAATCCACAGTTGGTTGGTGGAGGGTTTATGTTTTTGGTTTGATGGGGGGGTTGATTTGCCTTCCAATCCAGCGCTTTGCAAGAGCAATCACTACTCTTGGCTGGACTTTGTTTACTTCCAGTTTCGAATTGGAAATGAAATAGCAACCCCAAAACCCAACACCCTTACGAAAATCCAATCAGATGCGTATGCAGCCGCATTCAGAGTCACGTTTTGCCAAGTAAGCCAAGCCGAGGCAAGGCAAAGCAAGCCAAGTTAGAGGAACGACACAATTTCTACTATTGTTCTTGGCAAATTAGCCGATTGCAGGGAATTCCACCCTATTGTTAAAACTTACCCCTAGGCGATTGCATAAAATTGCATTTCGAATTGCATTCGTGACCGGGACAAATTGTGTAAAGTGCTTGCTCTGCTTTCTATGCTGCAAGGGGTTGGGCCTGGGCACGAGGGTAAGCAACTAATGTGGCATGTGGCATGTGGCAGCAAGGTGTGACGCACATTTTGGTATTCAATTAATGAGCCTTTCAGCTTTAGCTGGTATCTTTAAGCTGCATTTCAGTCTTTATCGCTTACCCAAACATTGGGCCTATTTGTTTTGGCCAGAAAAGGGTTTTCGATTACACTTTAAACCCATCGAACTCTTTGGGGTTGTGCACGAAATGCTCGAAACGGAGCTAAATTACAGGTTTGCATGTCAGCTGCTACTCCATAATAAATGTTGTTTGAGCCTCTATACTCTATATTCACTATGAAGTGTTATATAAATTACTATAGACATTGCTTGATTACTATTTGTGAACAGGTGATCTATTAAACATTATATAACTACTTACATTTCAACACCTATAGTATTACGTGAATAATTTATATTTATCTACTCTATGGAGTGTTGTAAATCTGTTTACTGGTTTGTATAGTTAAATTTTAATTTTATTATATATAGAGTAAATTAGTTTCTTGGTTCTATGAGATTTTTTATAAATAATATTATTTACCAAAAATATATTATAACTACGAATTTACATGCGAAAATAAAAAAATGTTCTAGGTAATGCATGTTTAATTGTTAACTATCTTCTTTTATGAATGGGTATCAACACAGAGTATTTAGACTTCGTTATACCTCAACATATTGGCCATATTTCCTTATATATTTTTTAACAACTATGTTGGCGTCGATGAGGCTATCGCTTGTCGGCGCGACATGGCATATAACATTTCAAAAGCCAAAGTAGCCACAAAAAAAAAAAAAAAAAAAAACAAATATAAGAAGAAGACGAAAATAACAAGCAGAGCAAACACGAATGGCTCGAAGTAAAGCGTCAGTCAGACGACACGGCCTAAGCTAATTGTCCACAACTTTGATGACCTTTGAAAACGCAACAGAAATATGGCGAGACGAGTCGCGACAGCCAATTTAATATAAAGCTACCCTGGGGCATCTAGTCTACAATGGGGAGTGGTGGCTGGGAGAGAGCGAAAGAGAGAGAGAGAGAAGCGGAAGTAGTTTCTTGTAGATGAACAGTTCACTGCACCGACACAAAAGACGCCGACGCACAGAATTTAATAAAACAATATAATGTAAATATTTTATGCACATACATCTGTCTATTTTTGTTCAGAAATTCTTGATTTATTTGGGTCAACTGCACTTTTGATAGCAAACTATATGTGCGTGTATATACATTTATATATTACATAAATCGAGTCCAAGTTGTCAGCGACTTACGCCCAAACTCTGCAGCGAAGGAAATCGTTTCTTCAATGTCTCCATGCCGTTTATTTTTTGTATACGCAAACAAAACACAGACGCTTAAAATTTATATGGAATAAATATATGTATATATATCTAAATATATAGACGAGTAGTCACGCGTTGGCCGCCACCAAGAACCGCAGACAGCGACCGATTCGAGACGTTTTCTAAATTATTTTCGCCGTGCGGCCAGAGACCCATGCGAAGAGCACAAAGAGAATTTCGCCAATTGGTTTTATTTTTAAAACATACACAACAGATTTTAGAGAAGCAAATTATCAAGAAAAAAGCTTTCGAGTGTACAGGATGAATGGGGGCTAATGCGAAAATGAGGCAGGGCTGGGTGTGTTTTGGAATGGGGTGGAGTGTCGCTGGGGGTGCGGGTGGTAAGGTTCTAAGTTCTAATTTTGAAGCTTTTTTTAATAGAGCCGTAAGTGATGCCTGGGAGACGCTACGACGCCAGAGAGTCGTCATGGATTGGCTAATGGCCCAGCAAGGACAGCGTTTGATGGGCTCGATGACTCATTTGGCATTCAGTTATTCAGCTCAAGGATTGCGATTGCGTCATTCAATGGATTGGCAGCTCCACATATACTCATACACACATACATAAAAAAAAGATAAAATATATGTACTTAAATATACAGTTAAGAGATGAGCCACATGAATATGGGCAATTCATAAGTAAACGCGATCATTGCCTGGGCTCTATGGGTGTATATGATGTACGCCTTGGCACTCACCGCACTCTGATGTCCTGTGGGGCAGTGTTCATGCTTATCGTGATGCTGCTTATTGTTCTTGTCACAAAGTGGGGCGCCACCATGCTGAAAGACCAGCTCATGCTGATGCTGAAAGTATTCATAGTGGCCCACATGCTCCGGGGACAACGGCTTGGGTGGACTTTGAATCGTCTTGGCAGCACCTTGAGCTGTCGGATGATGTGATTTCTTGTGGTGCTGCTGATGCTGATGCTGGTGCTGGTGCTGATGCTGGTTTTGCTGCTGTTCTGGATTCTGATGATGGGATTGCTGATGCGACTGTTGTTGCTGATGCGATTGCTGGTGGTGCGATGAGGCATTGCCATGATGTCCGCCATGATGATGATGATGATTGTGTGCCGTGGGTGGCGATGGCATGTTGTGGCCACTGTGTGGCAAATGCGACGAGTGCTGCACGCCTACCTGATGGCTATGATGGTGCGGCACATGACCTTGCGATGCCTCCAGTAGCGTTGGCTGGATGTGAGTCACAAATTGAGCCATGATAAAAAGCACTTAAGGCCTTGCACTTGTTTGATTACGATTTCAAAGACTTTTTTCCACTTAAAATTTAGAGGGGTACATATACACACATATGTATACTAAAAAACTGAGAGTGTGTAGCACCCACTCACACTCACACTCTCCCTCACTCACACATGCACATGCACAAACACAGTGGAACGGGAGTTGGAGACGGCTTCTTCGACGACGGATTAATTTTGCTGTGCGCGTGGACAACCTTTACGCAGGAGCAATGTCAAATGACTGGCCTAGCCAACAGCAGCAGCTATCCCAGTTTTTGCCTTAGATGTGACGGGACTTTCACCTCGCCCTCGTCCTTCGTTGTTTCGCTGCTCGCTTCGGCTCCGAGTCGTGCGCGCTTTTTTTGGGGTGGTGCTCGGTGGCAAAACGGAAGCTTTAACCGGACCAAGTTTTATGTGATGCTGCTACTGCCGCTGCTGCTGACGTGCCTGATAAGAGCTGCTGGCAATAAACAATTGATTTATTTTTGTTTTTCTTATTTTTTGTTGTTGCTTCCATAGCCCAAGCATTGATTTCGACACAGCAGTGAAAGGGCGGCCGCCAGTGCTTCGGGTATATATAAAATATTTTTATTTTTAACATAACCTTTAAGCTAATTTTGTCAGCGCCTGAAAATATACAATACTTTTTTATTTAAGGCATTTAAATAGCGCGCGATTTTTGTTGCATGCAAAACTTTTTGCATAAAAAGCTTTACGTTCGCTTTGATTGCTGAGTTTCGCCTTGGCCTTGGGATCTCATTTGGGGGTGTGTCTCGACTAGAGTGCCAAAGCGAATGAAATTCGCCTGCATGCAGCGAAAGTTTATTGACGCCACTTTCCAACCCACGCAAGCTTCGTGCAAGCTGCAAATTGTTGTTGCTCTGAATTCGCCACAAGTAAGCGGGTCTAATGTTCACATCTCGCTTTGGCTACGCTGCGACGTTTTGTGAGCAACAGTTCGCTCGATTTTTTTAATACGACAAAGTACCTCGGCGAGTCAACATTGTGACCTAAATAAAAACGGAATAATATTAAATATCTCTTAATTTGCAATAAGTTGATAATATATTTGCTGCGACATGGCATTCTTAAATAAGGTTTGTATATATTAATTTGAGTATAAACACAGTTTTATTGACTCTAGCCAAAGCAATGACAGCCGCTGATCATTGGGCAGACATTTTGAAATGCGTTTGAAAGAGAGATAGAGATTTTTCAGATTATTTCTCTTATCTGTCGTGTTTGTACTTTGCCCCTTGGTTGGACTTGTGAACCCACACGGAATTCCGAGACTAATTATTTTGTTTGCTTGTAGCTCGCAGTTCCTGCTATACGTCAGCTGGCCGCCAGCCGGTGCTACGCTGCCGTCTCTCACGTCTCGCCCACCGGCCCGTCCTTTGCTCTGACCGAAGAGCAGCAACAGCTCCAGGAGCTAGCGCGCAAGTTTACCCGTGAAGAGATTATTCCAGTGGCTGCGCAATACGACAAGACCGGCGAGTACCCATGGCCGATCATCAAGAAGGCCTGGAGCTTGGGTCTGATGAACAACCACATACCCGCCGAGCTGGGTGGCTTAGAATTAGATGTGTTTACGACCTGCCTGACTGCCGAGGAACTGGCCTATGGTTGCACCGGCATTATGACTGCTCTGGAGGCTAGCGGCTTGGGCGTAAGTGAAATGACTCCATATTCTATGTATATATACTTAATCACAGCTATATTTTAGCAAACACCTGTGATCCTCTCCGGCAACAAAGAGCAGAAGAAGAAGTATCTGGGTCGTCTGCTGGAAGAGCCTTTGGTGGCAGCTTATTGTGTCACGGAGCCTGGCGCTGGCTCTGATGTGGCCGGTATTAAGACTCGAGCCGAAAAGAAGGGCGACGAGTATGTGATCAATGGTCAGAAAATGTGGATCACCAATGGAGGCGTGGCCAACTGGTACTTTGTGCTGGCACGAACCAACCCCGATCCCAAGTGCCCGCCCAGCAAAGCATTCACTGGTTTCATTGTTGATCGCGAGACCCCTGGCCTAACGCCTGGCCGCAAGGAACAGAACATGGGTCAGCGTGCATCTGATACACGTGGCATCACCTTCGAGGATGTACGAGTACCCAAAGAAAACGTGCTGATTGGCGAGGGAGCTGGCTTCAAAATTGCCATGGGCACCTTCGACAAGACCCGCCCTCCAGTCGCAGCCGGAGCCGTTGGCTTGGCCCAGCGCTGCTTGGACGAGGCCCTGAAGTATGCGCTGGAACGCAAGACCTTTGGTGTTCCTATTGCCCATCATCAGGCAGTTCAATTCATGTTGGCCGACATGGCCATTGGCGTGGAGACATCTCGATTGGCGTGGCGCCTATCCGCCTGGGAGATTGACCAGGGACGTCGCAACAGCTACTACGCATCCATTGCCAAGTGTCATGCGGCCGACATGGCGAACAAGATTGCCTCCGATGCTGTGCAAATCTTTGGCGGCAATGGTTTCAACAGCGAGTATCCCGTGGAAAAGCTAATGCGTGATGCGAAGATCTATCAGATCTATGAGGGCACATCTCAAATTCAACGTCTCATCATCTCAAGGAACATGTACGAAATGGCCAAGGGCGGTGCCAGCAGATAAGATGTAAGGTCACGGTCACAATCATCCTCATTTCACAAACAACGATAAATAAAGTTAATATATAAGTACTTAAACTATTACTGGAAAAGTTGAAAACCATTTGATAGGGGTAGTCATATAGTACATATTATTGCTATAGATAACATACATACAATCTTAGCTAGAAGACACCAAATCGCGAGCCTAAATTGGGGCGCTCGAAAACGCTTGCTGATAAGATACGAAAGTTCTTGACAGTCTGCCCCCTTGGTTCTTCTGATAGGAGTTATGGCTATTTTCGTACGTCAAACATAAAACGGGACATAAAAAGACGTAAAGAACACAAATAACAAAAGATATCACATTGACTTCATCCAGTGCACCAATGCAGATCACTTTCGTCTAAATAGAGTCTTAGCAGACCCTTTTTGCCCCTGGGAGTCAAAGATTTGGCATTGTCACCCCATTTTAACTGCCAAATGGCTGCCAGTGTGGTGAAGGCACCTGGTAAGGAGAATGCCTGCTCATCGATGCTCAGTTCCATGCGCTTGGGCAGTTGTTTCTGTTCCTCCAGTTTCAGCAGGCGAAGATCGTCTACCAGACGTATACAATTCGTGGCCAAAAGAACGCGAAGATGGGGCAGCTCATCGAGCACATAACCCAGGGCGGCTCCACTCAAGCGCTCATTGTCACAAATGTCCAACCACTCCAGCTGCTGTGCCTTGGCCAACTGTTGTGTCATTTTGTAAATATGCGCATCAATCAACCCGCAGCCAGCAAGTTCCAATCGCACAAACCTCTCACTAGTACCGCTCTCGAGTAGCGAAACCAGACGCTCTCCGAGCGCAAATCCACTCTGTTCATCCAATGGCCAACGTACGTAGCTCATATTTAAGTGCTCCAGGCGACAACTATTCAACTTCTCTGTCAATCGGCGCACACTTTGCTGCGATAGCTGATTGAAGCTAATATCGAAACTGGTCAATTGCGTATACGCCAGATCAAAGTCCTGCAGCTCGGTCAACTCACATTGTGAAAGATTCAGCGTTGTCAACGCTCGACCAGCTCGACTAGCACAAAACTTTTGCAAAGTCCGCAGGCTGGCGTTGCCCAGCGGATTTTGGCTAAGTTGTAGCTCCTCTAAGTTCTCCAAATTTTCAATATCCGTACCGCAAAGCAGAGCCTCGAGACCTAGATTACTGATCCCATTACACTTCAGTCGCAATGTCTTCAATTGCAATAATGTGGGCAGCGCCTTGGCCAACTGCTGACAGCCCTCGTTGCCAATGAAATTGAAGGATAAATCTAACAGTGTGAGACGCGCCTGATGCAGCAAGGCCTTGAACAGTGGCTCTGTTTGAACGTGACGTAGCCACAGACTGGACAGTTCAAGTGTGAGTGTACTTTGTGAACGCTCCAACCGTACCTTTATCTTATCGTCGACAGCTGTAGAAGATTGAAAAGTTATTTTATAAACTACCACGATTAATGTGTGCTGCACACCTTTCTGCAATTGATGGCACATTTCCTCATAGCGTTGAGAAAGTGGTGAAATTTTCCAATCTAGAATTGTGGATAATAGCATATTCTGCTCAAGTGCAACGCTTACTGAATCAGTCTCCTCGTAGGCAAAGCCATCGGATGTTTTGAGACGCAACAAAGGCGTGAGTCCAGTTAATCTAAAAATATATTGATATTGTGAGACTAATTCTTTCAATACCTATTCACATCTGCTCACTTATTATAACGTCGCCCTGTCTCTTCGGCCAGCCAGCGCATGTTAATATCCTGTAGTTTTTTGCGCTCAATGGGCACTAGCAGCAGCTCGTCCTGGACTTTGACTTTGAAGGACACAGTGGTTGCCAGCACTGGCGTGGCTTGCACTTTAATGGGCGATGCCATTTTGGACGGCGAGATAAGTAGCTGAATGCCAGCATTTTGTGCACCACTTGTTGTGGAATCCGGTTCCGTGTGCGTGCGGAAGCTTATCAACGAAGCCCCATCAATCGAATCCTCGCCACTGCCCAAAGGACTTTCACTGCGAAAGCGACAAAAGCCGCTATCTAGCAGAGATGCCTGCTGCTTGGGCTTAGAATTACTGCTACTGTTATTGCTGCTCATGCTGGAGGAACGGGAGAGCGTGAGCTTACGCATTTGCTTCTGCCGCTGCTTCGAATTGGCTGCCTCGAGTAACAGCTGATGAGCATCCTGCTCTGGGGGCGTGGCCTGGATCTCCGCATCCCAAGCCAGAGCGGAGTCCTGCAGATTCTCCTTTGAATTAACCGGTCGACTACCAATGCTGCCCGAATTGTACCGCTTTCGCTTGCGCTCTGGTCCTATATCATCGATTAGCCAGTTATCTGCGTCTACTTCATCATCATCCAAGAGCGCGGCACGCTTCTGCTTGACATTGAGGCTCGTGCTACTGCTTGGCTCATCGTAAGTGGCGGGTGTACGATTTGGACGCTTAAGCTGCGCCATCACGTTGCGATATTCCTTGCTAGCGCTTGATGGCTGACGCGGACTGTGTGTCGAGCTGCCTGAACGATTGTGCATGTTAAAGGAGCGTCTAAGGGTGCGTGGCGCCAGCTCAAGCTCCTCCTCTTCAGCTTCTGAAGAAACTGAAGCACT